AAAAAAAAAAAAACCTCTGCTTCATCATTAAATACAGCTTTCTTCAGAACTAGAATGAAAAGGGGTGTTCTTACTATATAGAAGTTCATTGAGATGGTCTGAATTTGGGGCTGGGCAGATGTTTGTGTGCCTCCTTAAATCACCTTTTGCGATGTTCTCATTTGTGAATTAATTAAAATAGTGATTTTCTCCCTGCCCCCTCCTGCCCAAAAAAAGATGACTCTGATTAATATCATCACCTATCATATCAGGAAAGTCTTTTAAGTACTGGAAAGCGGTCCAGCTCACAATGGGGAAAATAGCATTTCTAATCCTAAACTTTCACTTGAAACCTTAAATTTTATCACTCACAATAAATACTGTCACTTGTTCTCCTTCAAGAGTCAGAGTTGCTTCATTTATTTCTGAAAAACTGTTTGCCAAATATTTAAGTAACCATGGTTTTTAGTCATTTAAGTAAAAATGGTACTCCATAAAAAAATGGCTAATTCAGCTTACAATTTAAATCACTGCATTAAGTGCTTTTCTTCAAGGCAACCACTGCCCTTAGGCACATGCAAGTGCTTTATGCGTATTTCCTATTTTGTCACGCAAAATATTTAAAGATATACACTCCAAGGTTGAGATTCAACAAAATTCGTATTTGTAAGTGCTTATTTAAGGACATTCTTACATAAAACTGGCATGTTACCATTAGTGCGAAGTGGTGAGGAACACAATGACTCCTAACACAGTTTGGCACCACTGCCTAGATTCAAGCTAAGGCTTCAGCAACTTTACCCGCCATTATATTTGCTACATCAGTGTAATGTCAACACAGTGAAAAAGGCAAACAACATGTTAGTATTATTATAAAAACAATTTTGACCTCCCAGACCCCCTGAAAGGATCTCAGAGACTCCCCCAGGGTTTCACGGGCCATACTTTAAGAACCACTGCTCTAGGATTCATACCTGGGATTGGAACCACCGAATTGCAGGATATGTGTATCTCACTTTTATTCTTTTACCGATTGTTTTTTTAATTTTTATTTATTTATTTTGAGAGTGAGCGAGCATGAACACAAGAGGGGGTAGGGGCAGAGAGAGAATCTTAAGCAGGCTCCACACCCAATGTGGAGCCCGATGTATGGCTCGATCTTACAACCCTGAGATCATGACCTGAGCCAAAATCAAAATCAAGAGTTGGAGGCTCAACCGACTGAGCCACCCAGGCGGCCCTTGATTATTTTTAATGCCTCTTTTTTCAACCTGTTTTCAAACTAGGTTTAACAATTAATATACCAGCAGTTCCTTGTTCTACCTACGTACCAACAGGTTTGATGGGTATTGTGAAAGGGCTGAATGATGGCGCTAAAAACGATATGTCCGTGTCTTAACCCCCAGAACCTATGAATGTAATCTTATTTTGAAAAAATGTCCTTGCAGATGTAATTAAGGATCTCATGATGGGGGGTGCCTGGGTGGCTCAGTTGGTTAGGTGTCTGACTCTTGATTTCGGTTCAGGTCATGATCTCAGGGTTGTGGGATCGACCCCCGCACTGGGCTCTGTGCTTAGCTCAGAGTCGGCTTGGGATTCTCCCTCTGGAACCCCCCCACCCCACCCCCACCACCTCCTGTTCACAAGCTTGTGTGCACACGTATTCTCTCTCTCTGAAATAAATAAATAAAATCTTTTTAAAACAATGGAAGGGTGTGCCTAGGTGGCTCAGTTGGTTAAGTGACTGCGTTTGGCTCAGGTCATGATCCCAGAATCCTGGGATCGAGTCCCACATCGGGATCCTGGCTCAGCGGGGAGCCTGCTTCTCCCTCTGACCCTCTCCCCTCTCATGCTGTTTCTCTCTCTCAAATAAATAATAAAATCTTAAAAAAAAATAAAATGAATCACAGACCTATACCTCTGAAACAAATAATACATTATATGTTAAAAAAAAAAAAAAGATAGCAGGAAGGGAAAAATGAAGGGGGGGGAATTGGAGGGGGAGATGAACCATGAGAGACTATGGACTCTGAGAAACAAACTGAGGGTTCTAGAGGGGAGAGGGTGGGGGGATGGGTTAGCCTGGTGATGGGTATTAAAGAGGGCACGTACTGCATGAAGCACTGGGTGTTACACGCAAACAATGAATCATGGAACAGTACATCAAAAACTAATGATGTTATGTATGGTGATTAACATGATAAAAAAATAAAACAATGGAAGGATCTCATGACAAGATCATCCTGGATTATCTGGGTAGGCCCTAAATCCACTGACAAGTTTTCTTATGAAACAAAAAAAGAGGAGCAGACATGGAGGAGAGACAGTGTGAGACTAGAGTTAGGCAGACATAGGAATACCTATATTATAGCCACCACAAGCTCGAAGAAGGAAGAATTGTTCCCTGGAACCTTCAGAGGGAGCACAGTACTGCCAACACCTTGTTTTTGTACTTCTGCCCTCCAGAAGTGAGAGAATAAAACATTTTTTAAGCTACCAAATTTGTAGAAATTTGTAACAGCAGCCCTAGGAAATGAATACAGGTATGAAATAATATTTCTTTATGGTTTTAATGCCCTGATTACTAACAAAGTAAACATCTTTTCAGATGTTTGTTGATAATTTGTAGTTCTTCATTTATGAATTATCTGCTCTTTTGCCCATTTTTTAAAATGTTTGTCATTTTATTTTTGATTCATAGGAGTTGCTTGCATATTCCTTTTTTTAAAGATTTTATTTATTTATTTGAGAGAGCGAGAATGAGAGACAGAGAGCAGGAGAGGGAAGAGGGTCAGAGGGAGAAGCAGACCCCCCGCTGAGCAGGGAGCTCGATGTGGGACTCAATCCCGACTCCAGGATCATGACCTGAGCCGAAGGCAGTCGCTCAACCAACTGAGCCACCCAGGCGCCCAAGTTGCTTGCATATTCTTATACTATTCCTTTGACAGTCATATGTGTTGCAAATATCCTCTTTTATTTTGTTGTTTTACTTTTTTTATGGTGTATTAATGAACAGAAATTCTTAATTTATTGAGTCAAATTTATATATCTTTCCCTTTATGGTTTTGCTTTGTATAACATCTTAAAGAAATCTTTCCCTCCCCTTGATGTCATATAGATATTCTCTTACATGGTCCTCTAAAAGTTCTAAAATTCTAATTTTTAGATTTAAGCCTTTTTTTTTTTAACCTTTAGCTGAGTCTTTTTAGATTGTCAATGTAGGGATCCAATTCATTTTTCCCTGCCCCCAAAATTTATTGGAGAGTCTCTCCTTTCGTCACTGCTCTGTAAAGTTACCTGTGTCAGAAGTCAACTTTCCATATACGCAAGGGTTTTTTTCTGTGCTGTTTCATAGTCTATTTGTCTATCTCTGTGCAAATAATCCCATTTTAATTACACACTTTTACAAGTTTTGATATCTACTAAAGTAAGTTCTCCACTTTGTGGTTCTTTTTTAGCAGCGTCTTTGCTTTTTGGTCCTTTGTTCTTTCATATAAATTTTAAAATGAGCTTGTCAAACTTATGAAGAAATCTTGCTGGGTTTCTGATATAAATTGTCTTGAATCTATAAATAAATTCAAGCAGAATTAACATCTTTATGACACTGAATCTGTGAGTATGGAAAAGCTTTCTATATATTTTGGTCTTCTCTAATGTTTCCTAATACAATTCTAAACTTTTCTCCATAAAGATCTTGCATATTTTTAAATTTATTCCTAGTACTTCATATTTTTTATTTCTATGATAAATAGTATCTCTTTTAAAAATTAGATTTTCTAACCAATTTCTGCTGCTCTATAGACATGTAATTGAATTTTGTTTATGAATTTTATATCCAGCAACTATGAAACTCACTTGTTAATTCTAATAACTGACATGTAAATGTGGGATTTTCTACGTGCACAGCTTTAAAATCTGTAATAATGAGTTTTGCTTCTTCCTTTCCTTCCGTAGGTGAAAATAAAAGCATTTGTCTTATTTCCAAATTCAAAGGGAAAGTTTTCTATGTTTTATCATTAAGTATGGTACCTTGTTGTACGTTTGGTTTTTCATTTTTGTTAATAGATACCTAGATCAGGTAAACAAAGCTCCCTTCTATTGCTACTTTATCTGAAATTTGTTTTATTACAAATGCTTTCTGGATTTTATCAAGTACCTTTTCTAAATCCATCGAGATGTCACGCAATTTTTCTCCTTTAGTCTGTTTAAGTAATATGCCACACGATCGATTTTTTAGAATGTGCTAAATCCTACTTGGTCATGGAATAACCCATTTTCATTTCATGGAATTTACCCATTTCTTCTAAGTTTTCAAGTATATTAGCACAAAGTTATTCACAATATTCTCGTATTTCCAATGCTGGTGGCATTTGCAATTGTATCGCCTTCTTCACACTTAAAATATAATGAAGTAAATCTTCCAGTTATCTTAGGCTTTGGTTTGTAGTCTGAACAGAGTTAGTATTTATTACCTTTCTGTTCTGTTCTCTCATCCTCAAGTTCTTTCTTCGGAGTTTTAGGTTTTATTAATTCTTTGTCCCAGGCAGCCAAAGCTTGTTTTTCCATTTGACGAATTTCGGCTTCCTCAGCATCCAAACGTCGCTTCCATTCGAGCAGCTCCTCTGCATGTTGTCGCCGTTGCATTAGTTTTTGCTCTCGCTTTGTAAGAAACCTATGGTCACACCATGAAGAACAGTCAAAGAACAAATCTAGGGGCAGAAATCACTCTGAGAGCTCTACCACTCATTGCCTTATCAATAAGCTGTGTAAAAATAGGACGTTCATACTACTCCTTTGAAAAAACTTTGAAATAACAGAAGCTTTGATGAGTCAACATATTTAGAAAATGAAAGAATTTATGTTTTACTTGTGATTGTTTGTAAAGGCAAATTCAGAAAAGAAAATTTCAGAATATCTGGACACCCATGGCTGATAACTTACATATTCACTTCTCATAGGTGATTCTTTTTCATAACAGAAGATATAAGGAATTTATTCTGAAGGTTCAGACTAGAAACACACAAACCCAAACCCAAAACAACAAAGACCAAAACAACAACAAAAAACAAATCTCAAAGCCCCCAAACAAGCAAGCAAACAAAAAAGATATGTTCATGTCCCTTTTTGACTTTTACTTTCAAATTCAGTCTGTTTTTATTTCAGGTATCACTACACCACTCTTTGGTTCCCACTGCCTAAGAGATGCAATGGGAGGTGATAATTATGGAGAGAACACTGAGCACCACAGTCAGATGCCTTTTGCATATAAACATAACTAATTATTTACTTATGTAAAAGGATACAACAAATACCTCAAATTTCTCAATTTAACCCAATTTCTGAAATTAAATAGCCCAATATAGCTTAGCTCCAAAGGGTTAAGAGAAATTACTGATTTAGGAAAAAGAAATTACTGATTTATCTTAAAAAGCTATTACTAAACTCTCCTCATATGTAGATGCCAAAGCTAAATAAAAGGTGGGCTGCTCATATTATTGGTGTTAGATCTGTACTGATGACTAATCAACAAAAATGCATTCACACATCCAACAAACACTTAATAAAAAGCACAAAAACTGTCATTCCACTTCTTGAACAATCAGCATATCAAATTAATGTGGAAACAAAAATAATTTATGGGACATTTGACAAGAGGCCCCCAGGCTGTTAAGAAAAAAAAAAAAAGAAGAAAAGCAAACAAAACAAACAAAAAGAACAGAGCATGCTCTATCAAAGAGTGCACTGAAAAAGGTGCAAAGTTACCTGACCAACTGGTTGTAGATATACAGCTGGAATTTGGGATGAAGGTTGGGAAAACAGACACTGAGAGAGGCCCAGTGGTGAGACGTAAAGACAGAGAAGAAGTAGTGAACAGGAGAGCAGTGTCTATAAAATAAGGAGGAAGATTTTAAAACCAAGAGATCAAGAGGCAGAAAGAATGAGAAAGGGAAAGCAAAAGAGCTGAGTGGAGAACTTTTAATATGCTTCCTGAATAACATTATAAGCTACTCAATTAAAGCAAGTGTTATACTCTGTGTGACATATAAAACATGTACTATTACAGATCTTACCAATGATTTCTGAATAAACATGCCTTTCTTCTCAGATGTTGCTTAACCATCATCTATAGTTTCAGGTAAATTTATGTGAGTAAAGTTATGAGAAGTACAGTATGGAGCTAAATAAGTTTTCCCATAAGCTTTTCTTTTTTTTAAGATTATTTATTTATTTATTTGACAGAGAGAGACACAGCGAGAAAGGGAACACAAGCAGGGGGAGTGGGAGAGGGAGAAGCAGGCTTCCCGGGGAGCAGGGAGCCCGATGTGGGGCTCGATCCCAGGACCCCGGGATCATGACCTGAGCCGAAGGCAGACGCCTAACGACTGAGCCACCCAGGCGCCCCTCCCATAAGCTTTAACACAGAGTACAACAATTATGGCTGTGAACCTAGTACATCAGCAATTCTACACACATATATAATCCTAAGCAAATGACTTTTATATCTGTACCTTGTCATATATTTTAAGCTTGAAATTAAATAAAAAGCACTATGTTTGCCTCACTTAACCTTTATCATCGTGATCTAGCTTGAAAATAATAATTTAGAAAATAAATTTAGAGTTAAAAATACCTTGTTCACCTCTACAGCATAAAATTTACTGCTCACAGGACCTACTGAAGATATTTTGCTTTATATTTAACAAAGGCCCACTTTAGTTAAGATTGAAATATAATATCCATTCTATAAAATATTAGAATGCATAATTAAGAATAAACTAAGCTAGTCGCAATAAATACTCCTGGCTAAAAAATAAAAATCATGCTATGGACAGCTCAATCATAAGGTTAAAAGAAGAAAATTTCATATGTTAAAGTTATAAAAGTAGAAAATTCTCTTCTTTCTAAACAGTAAATAGATCAGTTATTTATATATGTAAATATAAATATATATATTTGAGAGGCTAAGTAAGTCTAGTAATAGTCTGAAAGGTTAATTCTCTTTGACAGAGCATGCTCCTGTTCACATGCACACAACAATAACCTGTAGATCAAGGCAGCATTTTTTGCCTTGGAAGGGCAAGGAATAATATCAGTATGTCACAGAAGTGAGAAAATCTAGGTATAAATCCAGCTATTCATTTGGATTTTTAAAAGTATGTACAATCTTGCCTATACATGTATCTTTAGATACATAGACTATTTCAATGTCTGTTTCCCCACATACAACTTAGTATTTCACCTCCCTTTCATTTACTCATATATATACACACACACACATACATACACATTCATATCTGGATTGCCTTGATTTTCTGCACCGAAGTTCAAGGAAAAACAATTTTGCCAAATTTTAGTAAGACACTGCAATCTTCCTTGCCATTCTTTATGAATGTATAACAAACTTATTTTAGTGCTAATTATCAAAATATTACACAAAAACAAATGTACTCGGCAAAAGGTCCAAAAAATCTATTCATAATATTCAAATATCACCCACCCTCTTAAGTATATAACTGCTAAATGCATGCATGACCTAGTACAAAAAGTAGAACAGTATTGGAACATGTAAAATAAACTGTAAAAAAAATTACAATTTAAATTTGTCCAGCCCAATATAGAGACTAATAATTTACCAGCACAAGTACTGACCATTTATTTTTCATTTATAAGGATTAAGCATGTTCAAAAGCTCTAAGTTAGAAATGGACAACAAAAGAAATAGCTAACAGAAAAAGGAAATAGTTTAAGAAATAGTGTGAGAACAGTTTAACTTAAAGTTAAAACTTCTTCCCAGAAACATACATTCCTTATTTAATATATGTATATTCTAGAAATAGTGTCCTTTAAAAGCTAAATAAAATAAAGTTGAAATAAAAGAAGCAGTACTTCACACTAGAGTTAACAATCCTTCAAGATGCTGCACAAATAAATAAAATTTGTGAATGATGGAGACATAAATGCCTACTAACAGAAAACACTGCTAACACGCTTAATGGTTGGTGTCAAGGCATCCCCCAGCAAGGCTTCTGATGGTAACACAACACTGGACTGGATAGGATTAGACATAATAGATTTAATCATAATGTAAACCACTGTGTTCTTATGATGTTTAATCTTAAGAAATTCATTAGTAATTAGTTCTCTTTTTAAAAAATTTATTTATGAGAGAGAAAGGGAGTGAGAGAATGCATGCACGGGAAGGAGCAGAGGGAGAGGAACAAGCAGACTCCACGCTGAGGGCAGAGTCCAATGCAAGGCTCAATCTCACTACCCTGAGATCATGACATGAGCCAAAACCAAGACTCAGACACTTAACTGACTGAGCCACCCAGGCACCCCTGGTTCTCTTTTAAAGTCATACTTTCACACTCTAAACTTGAACTGTACAGCTATTCAAGCCCAGTAATCAGCCACTGAACACTTTGCCAATTTAAACAGATCCCATTTACAAGGGTCAATTTCTACTGAGATAACTTTAAGTCGTCACTGTAGTTTAGATTTAAAAAAAAAACAAAACTTATGAGGTTGTAACAGATCTGTACCCCTGAAACAAATAATACATTATATGTTAATTAAGAAGAAAAAAGAAGAAGAAAGCTATGAGGTTGAAAGCAGATATGCTAACTTAACTCAACTTTAACTTTGGCTGGCTGAGGTCCAGAGAGCAGGGTCCTAGTTCTAGTTCTGTGTGTGACCTGGGATGAGTTACTTATCTCCATGGCCTCAATTTCTTCCTGTGAAATCAAAGGACTACACTAGATGACTTCTCAAGGAGCCCTTTTAGTTCCAGCAGTTTATAATGCTTTCTTTCTCCATTCAAGTACCTCCTCACACTTTTTTAAATACCTCAATACACTGCTGGACCACGTGACATAAATGAGAACATTTTTTTCCATTGAGCTAGTATAATTGTAAATTGTGTTCCAACATATTATAAAACCATGCTATCATTTGAAAGAGCAAAATTATGATGTAAATTTTAAATGAAATTTTGAGTTATAAAATAATTTGACTTTGAAAGATATAAACAAAACAAGCAAAAACCTAATACTTTAAATCATTTTAAAATTCTTTCTGGACCAAAAATTAAATATATATTATGATAAATAAAAATGAAACACAGTGTTTATCTCAGGGACATGAGATCGAGCTCCACTTTGGGCTCCATACTCAGGAGGGAGTCTGCTTAAGATTCTCTCCCTCTGCCCCTCCCCCTACTCACACGCCTGCACACGCACTCTCTCTCTCTCCCTCTTAAAAATAAATAAATCTTAAAAAAAAAAGAAAAAAGAGGGGAGGGGGTGGGGGGATGGGTTAGCCTGGTGATGGGTATTAAAGAGGGCATGTTCTGCGTGGAGCACTGGGTGTTATGCACAAACAATGAATCATGGAACACTACATCAAAAACTAATGATGTAATGTATGGTGATTAACATAACAATAAAAAATTTTAAAGAAAAAAAGCAAAATATATTCAGAAAAAAAAAGAAAAAGAAAAAAAGAAAATGCAGTCTTGTCTTTCTTCCTAAGCAAAATTTATTCTATTACTTAAAACTGTCTAATAATTTGCATATAATTAAACAAAATGCAGGTACGTTATTCCTAACCTAGGAAGTAAAGAAAATAAAAACCATTATCAGGTTATCAGGATTTATCCAGCTACCACACTTAGACTAGAACTTTGTAAGAAATTTTATTTCTAATTTAAGACAGGGGTGTCTGGGTGGCTCAGTCGTTAAGCATCCAACTCTTGATCTCAGTTCAGGTCTTGAGCTCAAGGTCACCAGTTCAAGCCCCACTTTGGGCGCCATGCTGGGCATGGAGCCGACTTAAAAAAAAAAATACTGGTGAATTCTATATTAAGGCAACAGTATTTAGTATATTTTTTAGAATTCTTCTTTAATGGAATATCACAAATCTTCCCCTGCAAATCCTTACTTCTTAAACTCAGCAGATTAATGAAGATTTTAATACTGACCAGACAATACCACAAATATTGTTATCAGAGCTGCGTCATACAGTATCTGTTTAACTTTATGATTATTTAAAACCAAATAAGTTAATTTGTTCCTTTAGTGGTTCTAAGCTAACTGGGGATATTTTTAAATATTTAAATTTTAAGTAAACAAAGTATTTAAATATTTAAAATGAATGTCTGATAAGTTTTGTTGTCTTCATTTTTCCATGCTAGCTTGGTCTGCAATGATCAAACCAAAATATAACTTGTGTTTGTGGGTTTTTTTTTTTTTTTGCTTCTTCTTATGCTATAAAGTACTTACTAATTCAAAAGTATATTTAACTCAGAACACTCATCCATTGAAAACTGACTTGATATATTCTTTTCAGTAAAAATTTCTTTGTCTTCTGAACTTCCTTAGCGATTAATTTATATACACTTCTCTATAGGATTGATATTTATTCTTTTTTCCACCTAGACCATATGCTTTTTAAGGGCAAGGTTTATGTTTGATTCATCTTCATATCTCTCAGAACCTAGCACATTCACACATTTCCCAACAAATAATTGCTAAGATTAAGTATATATTTAATAAATTATATGGAAGAACAGCTGCTATTAAATGAAAGAGAAAATACACTGTGTCCTATTTTAACACTTGAAGATAACCCCATCCTGTTTGTGTTTCATTTGCTCAGTAAAAAATTTTCCTGAAAGGGAACTGGCAAATTAACAGAAAAAGTCAACGCATGGTGTTTTCTTTATGAATATATGTTTCAGGATTACAGACAATGCACTTATATTGTAAATAATGCCCCTCACAGTAATAAACAAAACTCAGATTTCTTTTATCAACAGTACCAAAAAGACTGAGGGCTATTCAGTCTGTGGCTTTTGCAAACATATATTCATTATGACTAATTTTTTTCACAGCTTAAATTCCTTTTGCTTTTCACTACACTGAGAAATGTAAATTATATATGTCAGATCAATAAAAAGGTCAGGAAAAGCCATAGATTAGAAATATAAATTTTAACAAAGGCATCGCTGTCTCAATGAAACATTAAAGAAGAAAATCTTTCACTGTAGCCAAAAATAGTTTGATAGTTTCAGAAAAATATCTGTCACAGAATCAGAGTTCAGAGGATTAACAATAAGCAATGACATATAATGAAAAAATTCTTCCCCAAAGTTAGCTAAACTTACTGAGGGAGGACTGCTTTTTGACAGGTGTTTTATATCAATAAAATAGTAATCTCTTGGAAGACTGCCTTTGCAAATCTACACAACAAATAATAGTGTCTAGTAGCAAAGGCTCAAGTGATTTTGTTATTAGGTATCTACTGTAGCAAATGACTATAAAATTAACTCACTCTATTTACTGACATTTATTTACTGACATTCCAATATCGTTGAAGGAAATCTAATTGTAAAGTTTTGGTGATCTGAATGGTATTTAAAAACCAGTTTTCACATTATTTTGTTCTAGACATTAAAAAATATCACATAATAATTTTCCTTTATAGTACATTGCTAATTTTGAAAAATACTCCAATTTATCTTCAAATTTCAGCACCATCATAAAACATTAAAAATGATTCCTTTGCCACTGCTGTCCCTACCCCATCCCTACCCACAAACACAACTGCATTGCTTCAAACAACAAATCAAGTCACTGAATACTTCAAAGCCTATTTCTTTGACAAATTGCTCAAATGGTTCCTGTAGTAGTTGACAAAGGAAGGTAGAAGGTAGAACAATAATACAAAAATTCCATGTGTTTAATATTTCAGATTCTGAGAAAATAATAAAAGTTGGAACAAAATCAATAAATGTATCTTCAATTTGGTATTTAGAATTTTTAAAGCTTTAACCAAATGTGAAATAAGCACCACATAAACTGACTCATCTCACAAACAGATTTAGGATTAGCAGTTTCTTCTACAAATGTGATTAAAATTATTAGAATATTATTCATAAAGACCAGCAATGAAGACCTTACTAATATAGATGAGCAAGGGATCAATGAAGAAATTACCCCTGAAACTGTCTTTCCTCCAATATCTACCATTCAAAGACATTTGGAGGCATATTTAAAATGTCAAGTCAGTTATAAAAATTCACGAGAGAGATTATTCTGAATTCAAACATCCATGAAGCAAAACAGTATGCCTATACAGACTATGGGAAAATTTTATCAGGAAAGGAAGAAGCGTCTTTAGTCTACATTTCAATAAATTCCTATATGAAAAAGCCTTATTTAGTTTATCCCACGGAATGATCCAAGAGGAGTATTTACATGTTTATAAATATTTGGTTTTACCCCCTTATATTTATTTTAAAATTCTGTATTTATTTTTTAAAACTTACTTTCATCACCAATTTAGGTATTTTAAAGTTAGGAAATGCAATTTAACAAGCAATGAAGTGCCAGTGTATAACACTGTACCTATAGTAAGTAAGGTTTGATTTACAACTGCTTGACTGTTCAGAAACTAAGTGAATCATAGGTTGATGTCACATAAACATAGAGCATTATTAAATTTGGTAATGTGTGGTACACTGACAAAGGATATCAAGATACAACTGTGGTTCAAACTGTTAACAAAATAAAATAACAGTCAATAAAACATTTTCATGGGTCTCTCTTTCATATTTAAAGAAGGTAGAAGTTATAAAGTAAAGGACAGGGTCCACAGCAGATATTTCACAAGCATATTTAATTTAACGTATACTCAGAAGAGTACACTCTCACATAAATGTAACTTTATATGGTCAAGACTGACATACAACTGAGCTACATTTAAGTAGAAGAAGCTTTCTTTAAAGGAGCCTCTAAAAAAATAATACTTAGAAATGTTTCAGAATCATTCAACATCCCAGAAGAATTTCAGTTTTTCTGGTTTCAAATGAGCAATCCACACCTTCTCACAGCTTAAAATTTCTATTTGACCTACGCATGAGAGTGGTCAGAGAGCCATAGGATGAGATCTCAGGATATACCATTAATTGCTTCCCCAAGTTAGTAGACATATTCTCAGATTTCAGGGAGGGTTATAAATTTCACACTTACTTTTAGCTTTTAATAAAAGAAAGATGGAAACATTGTCCTGGGTATTTGTGCAATTACTATGTTAGTTTTTAAAATAAGAAACCTGACTGTACTAAAAACAAGAAAATCTGTTTTATAGTAAGACCTATAGTTAATTGACTTCCAGGTTGATTTAACAATTCTGCTAAAATGCTACTGAATTCATAAAATATTACATTGTATCAATCTAATCTAATGAAGTACATTAAAAATATTTTTGCTATCATTTTCAATGTGAACAGGATAATATTTATAAAAATAAATTACTTTTCATCCATGCGGCTTCTCATTTTTTTCAGTTTCTGCATAATGCTGCTAGTTTCACTGCTGGAGATTGAAATGGGGGAAGGACTTCGGGTCTCCAAGTCAGTTGGACCAGGGCTGGTTGCCTTATTATCCTTTGTATCATCATCACTATGGGAGTCCTAAAAACAAAAGAGGGTAAAGTTTTATAATTTTACTGGAATTTAAGAACTCAAAATGACTTCAAACATTATTTCAAAATTAAGTTTATCCTCAAAACCATATTTATAAAATAGCTGCAATTAAGGAATTACTTAAAAGACAAAAAATTATATACATTTAAAAATGGCTAAAATATAGATTTTGTTATGTATATCTTACATATATTTATATATAGTCACAAAGTATAATTTTTTTTTAAAATTTTATTTATTTGAGAGAGAGAGAACACGAGTGGGCGGAGGGGCAAAGGGAGAGGTAGAAGCAGACTCCCCGCTGAGCAGGGAGCTCAACTTGGGGCTTGATCCCTGGACCGCGGGATCTCTACCGGAGCCAAAGGCAGGCACTTAACCAGCTGAACCACCCAGGCACCCCCCCAAAGTATAATTTCTTTAAAAGATTGAAAAAAATAAAAAAATCTGCTGCTGCTACTAGCAATCTAGTATTTCACTATCCTAATTTCTTTTAAACTGAACCACTCAAAAGGAATATAAACAGTATATATACACATATGGATATAAGAATGAAGGGAACACATAAACTTATTTTAATACTACTGAGGGATGGATCTTTTTTCTTTCCAAATTATAATGGGAAAAACAGTATTTTCTCAACTTAAAAAGTTTAAAATGAAAACATTTAGAACTACCGGTTTAACTCATGAGCAAAATTTATAATGAAAACATTTAGGGGACGTCTGAGTGGCTCAGTCGGTTAAGCATCTGCCTTTGGCTCAGGTCATGATCTCAGGGTCCTGGGATCAAGCCCCATATCAGGCTCCTAGCTCAGCGGGGAGCCTGCTCCTCCCTCTGCCTGCTCTGCCTGCCGCTCCCCTTGCTAGTGCTCTCTCTGACAAATAAATAAAATCTTAAAAAAAAACATTTAGAACTATTGGTTTAATTGATATATTATTTCTCATGAGCAAAAAGTAACTTTAAATGCTTAAGTAAGAGAATAGTCATTTATTCTCGTAACTTTTGAGGAAGATGAGTAGGGACGATTGTGACCATTTTTATTTTGTGAACGATACACAAAGCAGAGGCCTTCTCCTTCCCTTTCTGCCTCCTAAATGATTCAGTCCTAAAGTCATTAGGTAGAACAGCACAAGACAGGGATCCATACAAAGGTAGAGGTAGACAAGGGGACCTAGAGTGGGGTGTCCCAACTGGAGTGAGATGAAGAGGGCATCTAACACAGGAAGGTTATTACTCAAGTGGAACAAAGAGGATGTCCACAGGGGAGTGGCCCTACATGGCATGTTACAAGCCCAAACAGAGTGAAGTGGCGTTCCCACAGAGTACAGAAAGGATAAGGAGAGTACAGAGAAAGGGCAAGGAGATGGGGGAATAGCTTGACTTGGGAGTCTGAATCCAGGGGTGGTGAGGATATCCACATGAGGAAAGGGGTGGCAGTGGTTATGGGAGATAGGTTACACACAGGAATGAGCAAATCATGATCTATATTAAGGAAAATGTTAACCAGCTGTCTATCAGAGAAGGTAGTTTCAAAAAGAGAAAACTAGGGGGGTGGAGGGATGGGGTAACTGGATGATGGGCATTAAGGAGGGCATGTGATCTGATAAGCACTGGGTGTTATACATAACTAATGAATCACTGAGCACTACATCAAAAACTAATGATGTACTGTATGTTGGCTAACTGAACTTAATAAAAAAAAAGAGAAAACTAGAATGGAACCTTATGGTGCTGGATTAGAACTGAAAGGATCAGTATGAACTCCTAATACCTAAATACTGTATATGTATATATGCTGTATACTGTATATGAACATACAGAAATAAACATACATGTAAAATGTACTCTTTATTATGTCTACATAAACATACATATTGTCTATATCTGTTGCTTTTAGGAGCAAAACCTGAATAGTAATGAGCATGCTTAGCACCAGATATTGGTTTCTGAATAACTTTCCTCCTTGGAGAAACAGCTGATTCCAAGTCTGGGGCAGGGAAGGTATTAGATGACACTGAGACATCTTGTTGCAGAAAACATGGAAGTGTTCACAGACTGTTGGGGACATGTCAAAAGAAAGGCTCCTAATGGTCTGACCTGGGACAAAGCGAGCGTTAAAACAAATGACAGTAACAGATTTAATGCTGAATAAAATAGGAATCTGTAAGTCCATACTAATATAAATAAAAGGGTAAGTTTAAAGAAGAAATTTATGTAGTCTCAAAATAACTTATGCAAAGTACTTATTATTTACAAAGGGAAAGAAAGTAACTTTATAGTGAAGTCTGATGTCTGCCATCTTAATCAAGTGATCAAGTCAACATCATCAGTAATGGGATAAATCAAAATCAGGCACCACCTGATTGAATGCAGTGAGAACATGGCATCACTTCCATAATATTCCAGCTAAAGATGCACAATCTGAACCTAATTATGAGGAAATATCAGACAAATCCAAGTTTGAGAAACATTCTACAAAGTAACTGGCATGCAATCTTCCAAAGTGTCAAGGTCATGAGAGTCAAGTAACTTTTCCAGACTGAAGGAGACTAGAGAGATATGAGAACTAAATGCAGTATGTGATTTTGAACTTACCTTCTGATAAAAGCACAATATTGTGACAACTAGAGAACTGTCATAGTCCAGGAAGATAGAGTTCTTTGTACAGTGTTTGAAATTTTCTATAAATTTAAGATTGTTTCAAAATTTAAAGTGTATTTTAAACACCAAAGCAGAAAATGCTAAGATTTATTTAACTATACAATTATCCAGTGTGGGTTCTCCAACACTATATTAACACTTCAGAATAGATCCAAATTTTGCTTTTATCTGAATACCTCCTTTGACTCTTGTATCATTATATTAATACTGAATAGCTAAAAGTAAGTACCAAGAGCAAAAATGGTCTCTCTCATTAATTCTGAGGAATATATCTGGATTGATAAACAAGAACAAGGCTCTTTGTCCCAAATGAATTTATAAATGGAAAACATTTTTCAACTATCATATGAACGTGTCCCTTTCAAAACTTGAATATTCCATGGGAAAAAAAATAAAAACTCTCACTATACATAAAGATACATATATAGAACTTTATTCTAGTTCATCTAACAACTATGAACATATCCAACAGATGAGAAAGTGAGGCAGGATTAGGTATTAGCAAGCAACATGAGAGAGAAAACAAATAGTAATTTCATGTAATTTACCAATTTATTCTCCCCTGCCGACTTTAACTTCTCCTGTAACTTTATGGTGGTCTGTCGGATCCTTTCTATCTCCTCCTGCTGTTTCAGAATCAGTTGTCTTTCCTTCCGAGCTGCCTTATTGGCTTCTTGAAGACGTTTAATTTCTGCCTAAGGTTTAAAGAATTAGAAGAGTAAATGAGATTTGGAGGATACAAGTCCAAAGCAATATTTTAAGAAAGCCCAATCATCACATATATCAAAAATAAAAACATACAGTATATTCAAGATAAAAGTAATATTGAAAAATTTTGAAGTAGTGAAGGAGGAAAAAAGAGTCTCGTAACCCCATCATGCTAAAATAATAAACATGATCCCTTAATTTAAATAATTATAATTACAACAGACTGACAATTTTCTATCCCCCTTTTAAACTTAAGATACCCTTCATATTTTTCCATAGTGCTACTTGGTCTTTACACTTATTTGTTTATCAGCTGCATAACAAGTAGTTAACGTAACCATTATTCTACTGCGAAAATCTTAGGCCCCTTATAATTTTTTACCATTCCAAATAATGCTTTAATGTCTATAACTGTTTCACTATGGATTTGTTCTTTAGGAGAGATTCCAAAACGTAGGACAAACAAATCAAAGAGGATAAATCATACTATGGCCCTTAAAATCATTTAAAGATTGCTTTCAAAAAAGAATGGTCTCCACCAGAAACATTTAAGACTATACTGCACCAAACTCTCTCCACACAGGGTATTGTTAAGTTTTCTGTTACTAACTAAATGGGCAAAAGATGACACACTTCACTGTTAATAACTGTTAAAATTTAAGAGACTGTCCTTTTTTTTCCATAAATTTATTTTAATCTGTGTTCCTGTCAATAATGTAAGCCTAAAAAGACAGTAATAATTAGCAACGTATAATTTCTTTTAGTCATGTTTGATTTTTGTAAACTATCTGAAAATGCAGAGAAGTGCACAAAAATATCTAATTTCTAAAATCTCATACTAACAACTGTTAATATTCTGTCATATTTTATCCTAGTCTTTATTTTGTGAAGAAATAAAACATTACAGATAAAACCAGTATGCAATCCTACATCCTTAGAGGTAGTCACTACCACGGTATATATCCTTCCAGCACATTCTTTAAAAATTCTTTTTTTTTTTTTAAGATTTTATTTATTTATTTGAGAGAAAGAATGAGATAGAGAGAGAGCATGAGAGGGGGGAGGGTCCGAGGGAGAAGCAGACTCCCTGTCGAGCAGGGAGTCTGATGCGGGACTCGATCCCGGGACTCCAGGATCATGACCTGAGCCGAAGGCAGTCGCTTAACCAACTGAGCCACTCAGGCGCCCTCTTTTAAAATTCTTCTACAGATATTTATTTGTACTTACCTGCAAAAAACACACTCTGTTTGGTCTGTATGTTTTTAAGTAGTTTATAAATAATATCACACATATATATTTTCAACCTTGCTTTATTTACTGGATGTTGCTTTTGCTACCTCTCTGTGTTGACTTACACCTAAATGCTGCATAACATTGGAAACATATACTATTTCATGTATCCATTACCCCTATGTGTAGATAAAGTTGTTGTTCACTATTGCAAACAATGCTACAATGAACAGCCTTATAGTTTTTGTCTTTGGCACATGTATGAGTTTCTCTAGAGCAGTTCTTGAAGTGTGGTCCAAGGACCCTAGAGGATTCCCAAGGTCCTTTCAGGGGACTCTCAGAGTCAAACAATCTTCATAATACTAAGACACTATTTGCCTTTATTCACTCTTACTCTCTCAGGAGTATACAATGGCATTATATGCATTTTAAAGAAAATAACTATCTTCCAAAACAAACAAACAAACAAAATAATTAGTATTGTTAGATTTTTCCAAATCTCTTTATTTTCTGACTTGATTTTTTGAAACATCATGCATTGGTCATGTGGAAAGTATCAGTTCACTGAGTTATGCAGATCTTCCAAGTGTTGACACATTTCATTATACAGTATAAAAAAAAATCACATTCTTTCACATCACCACAGATCTCAAAAGAAAAGTTCTTTAGTATTAGGTGGTGGACAGAAATTTTCTAAAATTCTGCCTTGAAAGCCTGAATTTTGTCACTGGCAACAAATACCGTTACAGCTGTTTTCTATAAAGTAAGAGGCACACTTTGTTCATTTTTGAGAAAATGACTGTCAAATACCCAAATCTGAATAAACAGCTTGTCTCTGAATAATTCTTTCAAGGAAAAACGGTATTCCGTGAAAAAAAAAAGGCTAGTTCAGCTTGCAACTCAAACAACTGTACAAATGCCTTTCCTTGAGTTAATCACTGTCCTCTGGTATCTGGCAAAGTGCTTCCTTGTGGACTTCCTATTTTTGTCATGCAGAGTATGACAATGAAAGTACTCAAAGGTCAGCACTCAGCAAAATTAATAATTTTTACTACTTAAGCAAGACATTCTTCAGTGAAGGGGCTCCTGGGTGGCTCAGCCTGTTAGGTTAAACACCTGCCTTCGGCTCAGATCATGATCCCAGGGTCCTGGGATCGAGCTCCGGATCAAGCTCCACATCGGGCTCCCTGCTCAGCAGGGAGTCTGCTTCTCCCTCGCCCTCTGCTCGTGCTCTCTCTCTCACATTTGCTCACTCTCTCTCTCAAATAAATAAATAAAATCTTAAAAAAAAAAAAAACATTTTTCAGTGAAACTACTGCTTTTTGTTTGTTTCACTTGTGTGGCATTGAAAAACATGACGGTTACTAGTATAGTCTGGGGCCACTGCTGCCCTGATTTGTGCTAAGCACTGGCAGTTTTACCCACCATTGTTTTTGTACCACTTAGTACAAGTGTCAAACAATGAAAAGGGCAAATTCATATCCCACTATTAGGAAAACAGTTTTGACCTCCGTGACGCATGAAAGGGTATCAGGGACCCCAGAGTTCCACAGAGCACATTTTGAAAAACTGCTATTAGCTTAGCCCTGAGTTTCTAAACCAATTATTGTATACATTCACCCAATCCAAGCCTAGAAAATAAACTGTTTCAAGGGGATTCTTTTTTTTTTTAAGATTTTGTTTATTTATTCATGAGAGACAGAGGGAGAGAGAGAGGGAGAGAGAGAGAGAGAAGCAGAGGGAGAAGCAGGCTCCCAAGGAGCAGGGAGCCCGATGCGGGACTCGATCCCAGGACCCTGGGATCATGACCTGAGCCGAAGGCAGATGCTTAACCATCTGAGCCACCCAGGCGCCCTCAAGGGGATTCTTGAGGGAAGAGGTTTGCTTTTCTTTTCAGAATAAGCTATAAGGTTGTACAAACTATTCACTTTAAAACGGTTAATGGTGTAAGTGGATTATACTTTAAAATTGTTATTTTGTTATGTGAATTTTATCTCAAAAAAACAAAAAAAGAATAAGACATAGGAAAATATGTTCTCGCTCGTTTTGGATACAGCTGTGTGAAGATATGTGGCCAAAGTGGTTATACAACCTCACTACCAGTCAAAATAATTCTTATGATACAACTGTAGTAAATACCTTAGTACATACATCCTTCCACGCTGGTGCTTTTATTTCTGTAGGGTAACTTTCCAGGGGTAGACAGATAGATCAGAGTGTTTTTTGCACATTTACTTAAAAAACATTCTGAAGTACTATAGGGGTGCCTGGGTGGCTTGGTCCGTTGGGCGGCCAACTCCTGATTTTGGCTCAGGTCATGATCTCAGGTCCTGGGATTGAGCCCTACATCAGACTCTGTGCTCAGCGGGGAGTCTCCTTGAGGATTCTCTCTCTCTCTCTCTTCCCCTACCCCTCCCCCCTGCTCACATGCTCTCTCTAAAACAAAGAAACAAATCCTTAAAAATATTTACGAAAATGGTATCATACTGTACATATTCTTTTGCATCTTGCTTTTCTATAAAAACCAAAATTATGATTTTTGATAAAGATCTACTGCTATAACTATTCAATATGGTAGCTACAGCTCCATGTAGCTACTTAAATTAACATTTCAGTTTCTCAGTTGCACTAGCCATGTTTTAAATATCGAAAACTCTATGTGACTAGTAGCTACTGTATTGGACAGCACAAATACAGAATGTTAATAATAATTTCAGAAATCTCTATTGAACAGTGCTGATATGTAATGCATTCATTTCCTGCAGTATTGTACTTTCTTGCAGAAATATGCTTTGTTTCATCTATTCTCTTAATGAAAGAATTAAGCTGTTTCCATTTTCCCCTATACATGTGTGAAAACTTCTCTACTATATATACCAAGACACAGAACTGCTGATTCACAGACTGTATGTGTTGTCAACATAACCAGATATAGTCAAACTGCTCCTAACCAGTCACCATTTCCACAGACACAGAGATCTGAGGTGACAAAACTGGAGACTTAAAAGGCTTCCAACTCAGTCTCCCCCTCAAACCATTTGCCTATTCTTAAGCAGCACAGACAGAAGGCTAAGGAGCTACACACCAGAAACCTCTCAGCAGCAAAGTAGAAATCCCCACAGTCTTTTGTGCTGGTTTACCTGGCTTTCAACTGAAATCCCTGGAAAGTTAAAACCTAGGGTCAATGCAAAGCAGAAGCAGACTGAGGCCTACCAACTCTGCAACGCAACACTAACCCAGCTTAGTTCCTGAATGGATTTAAGCGAATTGTTGAGCATTCTAACAGCACAGCAGAGGGAAAAAATAAGTCCTCTCTGGTGGGGGAGATAACATCATCTGGAGCCTTTGCAGTTATTCATACAGTATCCAGCATTTAATAAAAAATTACTATAAGAGATTCTTAATAATAGATAACAAACTGAGGGTTGATGGAGGGAGGTGGGTGGGGGAGGGCTAGATGGGGGATGGGTATGAAGGAGGGCACTTGTCGTGTTGAGCCCTGGGTGTTATATGTAAGTGATGAATCACTGTACTCCTGAAACCAATATTGCACTGTATGCTACTAATTAGAATTTAAAAAATGAAGAAAAAAAACTATTTAGACATGCAAAAAGAATCATATGGTAATAGAAAATATAAAGAGAAAACAGTAGCAGACACACAGATGTCCAAATATCTAGTTAGCAGACAAGAAAGCTAAAATGACTATAAATAATGTGTTCAAAAAAATATGGGAAAAAACAGAAAAATTGATAAAAACGTAAACAAATAATTAAAATCTATAAAAAAGATGGAGTGCCTATGTGGATCAGTCAGTTAACTGTCTCACTCTTGGTTTCGGCTCAGGTCATGACCTCAGGGTCCTGAGATCAAGTTCCGCATGGGGCTCCATGCTCAGTGCAGTCTGCTTGAGACTCTCTCTCTCCCTCTCCCTCTGCCCCTCTCCCCCACTCTCACTTTCTCTCTAAAAATAAATAAAACCTTTAAAAAAATCTATAAAAAAGAAGAAAAGGAATATTATAGAACAAAAAAAAAATCACATTAAGAACTCATTGGATGACTAACAAGACACATGACATGCAGAATATACAACTAATGAATTTAAAGACAGATCAATAGAAACTTTCCAAACTAAAGCATAGTGGGCTTTTTTGTTTGTTTCTAAAGAATGATATAAAACCAAAACAGAGCAGAAGAAAGATGTACTAAATGGTCAGAAGGTCTAACATATTTCCACTTGGAGTCTCTGAAGAAAAGCAGAGAGAGAGTGGGGCAGAAGCAACACATGAAGAGATAATTTTCAAAAACTGAAATACAACAAACAACAAATTCAAGAAGCTCAGCAAATCCTAACAGTATGAAAAGAAATCACACCTAAGCACAACTGAAAAAAAATCTATGACAAATTTTTTAAAAATCTTAAAAGCAGCCTTCGAAAAAACATTAAGACAACTGACCTCTTCATAAAAACAATGGAAACTAGTAGACAATGGAAAATATCTTTAAAAAGGCCGAAAGAAAATAATTCTATGCTAGTAAAAATATCTTTCAGAAATGAAGGTGAAACAAGTAAATTTTCCAAATAACAAAAACTGAATGTGCTGTCAGCAGTCACGCAGTAAAATATTAGATTCCTCAAATCCAAAGGTTTGGGCTTCAAAGCACACTATTAAGAAAGTTAAAACATGGGATGGGGCCTGGGTAACTCAGTCGGTTAAGCGTGGGTCTCTTGATTTTGGCTCAGGTAATGATATCAGGGTCATGAGATCAAGCCCCACATGGGGCTCCACGCTGGGCATGGAGCCTGTTTAAGATTCTGTCTCCCCTCCCCACCCACCCCCACCCCCCAGCTGGCCCAACACTGCTCACTCTCTCATGAAAGAAAGAAAAAGAAAGAAAGAAAGAAAGAAAGAAAGAAAGAAAGAAAGAAGAAACACAACCTCACAGAATGAGAAAAATACTAGTAAATCTAGCTTTTATTCTACTTTACAAACAGAAAGCTATTGTAATGTAAAAAGTTATTTATTTATTTTAACTAAGAAAATTTTAAGTTATTTTGAAACCAATTTTTCTGGATTAAAAAGATATAACTTCTTTAAAGAAATTCCAAATTTTTATTTTATTTTTTTAAAGAGTTATTTATTTTATTTGAGAGAGTGAGAGAGGAACAGGGAGGGGCAGAGGTCAAAGGAGAGAATCACAAGCAGACTCTGCGCTGCGCATGGAGCCTGACCTGGGGCTTGATCTCACATTCCTGAGATCATGACCTAAGCCAAAATTAAGAGTCAGATGTTTGATCGACTGAGCCACCCAGGCGCCCCCAAAATTCCCAATTTTTAAAGTTCACACAATGATAAAAAAAAAAAAAAACGAGTTGAGCAATAATCCAATCTATAACTTAAATGATTACGTTCACACAGTTCAACCAACATAGGAGCCAGTACCTTGTAACAGGTCAATAAGGGAAAAGAAAACTAGAATCCAGTGAATATTTACCAGGCACTGTGAGACACATTTTACACATGTTATCTCATTTTAATCCTCACAACCACCATATAAAGTAATATCTTACTCCTACAGATGAAGAAATTAAGTCTCAGAGAGTTACTTAAACTTGACCATTATTACAGAGCTGGAAGTGACAAAACTGGAATTCAAATAACAGCCAACATTCATTGAGCATTTACCACTGTGCCAACATCTACTGTAAATTTATGATATGTATTAACTCATTTATTCCTCCCAACAACCTTACAAAAAGTATGTTATCATTATTATCCTTGGTTTAGAGATAAAGAAACTGAAGCACAGAGAAGTCAGGTAACTTGTCCAAGGTTATGAAACTAATAATTGGTAGATTTAGAATTTTAACCCAGGCAACTTGACTCTGGAGCTTGAATTCTTAACCACCAAACCATGTTCTCTCTCCAGGATTCCAACCTGAGGTGTTTCTGAGCTCACTGAGCCAAAATATTACTCAATTTGTAATGAGTATGTCCTGAAAGTCTATTTGGGAAAATAGTGACTAAAAAATTAATCCAAATAGACTCTTTTACAAATATCTTAATTTTTTAAATATGCATTTTTTAAAGATTTTATTATTTGTTTGTTTGTTTGTCAGAGAGAGAGAGAGCGAGCGAGAGAGGGAACATAAGCAGGCAGAGGGAGAAGCAGGCTCCCTGCTGAACAGGGAGCCCCATGTGGGACTTGATCCCAGTACCCTGGGATCATAGCCGAAGGCAGACGCTTAACCGACTGAGCCACAGGATTCCCTAAATATGCATTTCAAATACTATTTTATTTAACAAAGGAAGGCAGGTTTGACTCTCTATTGTATTAAGTTAGCAGTGACACAAAATTAGAAATATAGCAGACTACCAAGCAATTTCTGTAATTATAGTAGTATAGGCAAAAACAGTGGTAAATATCAAATAAATCTCCTTTAAGATGATAATAAGAAAAAGAGATTAGGCAAAATAATAGATTCCACCATCTAACTTGCCTTAGGAGAAATTCTCTTAAAGAGTGTTTTTTTCTAACATACCTTCTCTTGCTGCAACCTTAAAAGCAAACCACGCTGTTTCTTTCGAAGTGGGGGCATTTTATCATCTTCTCCTTTGTCTCGTAGATGTCTGCAAACATTTCACATTGATACAAAGAGTAGATTAAATTTCTATTATAATGTCAAGAATTCTCTACCACTAAAAAGTCTCTAAAAGCGATTTAACATTTTCAAACACGGAAAACATGCAGCAAAGCCTGCCCCACCAAATATTTTATTGCACGTATAATATATGCAAACTCTAGACTGTGTCCTTTAAAGATAAAATTGCTTTGAGAAGTTTACAACACAGTAAAGGAATTAAGTATTAAATAACAATATGAGAGTCAGTCAGGTTGATAAAAGAGAAATGCAAAGAGAATGTTATGAGTAGGAGATCTGAACAGCAACAGGATTCAAAGACGAATGCCATATTTCTGGGTTAAGAAACTGGGTTGGTCAAATCAAATTAAATTGACTGAGGAAACAAAAACATCTTTAAAGACAAAGCATTTCCTTTCAATAAAAGAAGAAATTGGAAAGCGAAAACTATGTTCATGGAAACAACTTACTTTTTCTGATGCTCCAGCCAGGCTAATTCAGCCTTGGTTTTCTCCTTCAGGGCTTTCTCCCGGAGACGCAGGAGTGAAGACTGGTGAGCCGCCCTCATTTCCTCTTCTTTCATGTACTGTCGGACCATCTCCATAGTAAATTTAGAAAAACTATCTTGTCCTCCTGAGAATGGCATGCTCAGCTCCTAAAGTGGAGATTTGATTTCAAGTTTATCATTATCTAAGCCTTTGGAACTTAATTAACATCGTTAAAAGAGGCATTCACTTATAAAAGTAAGCTGTGTATATAAAAAGGCTGCTGACCATGTCAGAGAACACTCCTCAAAAGAGGCACACGAGAGGGAGTAACGTTCGTCAGCTAATTTATTCAGCCAGTGAAATCTGAACAAACAACTACATAAGCCAGGTACTGTCTGCATAAAGCCCAGTAAGAATTGTCCCTGTTGTCCAAAAGGCTAACAATTTAGCAAGATGATATAAACTTTTAAACTGGAATAAAGTGTTATAAGAGTGAAGCAAATGAAACACTAGAGACATAACGCTGGCTCCAATCCTCAAAGGCCTTCTGAATTACCCCAAGGAGTAAGTCTGTGTTCTGCTTTGTAAGGAAAGCAAAGCCAGATTCTATAGCAAAAATATAATATAAAATTGCTATCTTAGGAAAATCATTCTGGTAGATGACAACTGAGTTCAAGTACAAAACGTATGGTCATCTCTTTGAGAGAACGCATCCACGACTACGTATGAAGTACTCCACAAGTAAACCGCAGCACACCTTGGCAGAAGACAGTGTTGCCTTTTCTGGAGAGGCTTCATCGTCAGAGTCATCATGATGGCCTCTCTTTTTTTCCATGTTAAATCTGCGATGACTCTCAGAAGGTAGTAAAGATCGAAATGATTTTTCTTCTATTTCATCTTCTGTCATAGATTCATCAAATTTCAGGGAATATTCTGTTGCAATAGAAGTGGAATCTAAAAGAATTTGGAACAAGTAGATTTTATCATTATAACATTTTTCATCAATTAGTAGCCCCTGTTGCCTCTTGATGGGACAATCTAACATAAATTCATAGAATTGATCAGTAACAATTAATAGGCATGGAATAATAAAAATTCACTGATCTAAAAATACAAGAAATATGGTAAAAGTGTAATACACTTTACATATAAAGAGCCCTTACAAACCAATTAGAAAACTACTAATAATCCTATAGAAAAATGAGAAACAGTCATGATCAAATGCTTCACAAAGAAAATATAAATGGCCAAAATAAAGTAAAAAAAAAAAGTTTAACATTATTAGCAGTCAAAGAAATGCAAATCAAAATTTTTTTAGAACTCATCAATACCATGGTAATTTAAAACACGATGGCTCTTTTAGTTTGGTTCTTGTGTGCCTTTGACATGCACTCCTCACCCCCCAATCCTTTTATTTGGACAGCCTTACTTTCTAGTACTACAAGATGTTCCAGGTTCATTTTGTATTTTCCCTGCCCAGTCCTAGAATCAGTCATTTCTCCAAAGAGCTCTAATTTCTTTCATTGGAGAATATTTAGAAACCACAATTATGGGCACTGGTTATTTTTTTTTTTTTAAGATTTTATTTATTTGAGAGAGAGCAGAGTGAGAGAGAGCACGAGAGGGGGGTGGAGGAGCAGAGGGAGAAGGAAAGCAGGCTCCCCGCTGAGCAGGGAGCCCGACATGGGGCTCAATCCCAGGACCCCAGGATCATGACCTGAGTCAAAGGCAGACACTTAACCGACTGAGCCACCCAGGTACCCTGGCACTGGGTTACTCTTGTTACTACTAGAGCATCACTGTTTCTTTCCTCTGTCAGTGGACAGAGCTAGATAATGTATGCATGTATACTAACCCATGTACACACACACACACACACACACACACACACACATACACACACACACACTAGATCCTGTATCCATCCATCCATCCATCCAAAGATGGATTCATACTGATGTCACTGACTCTAATCCAGCACCATAGGGTTCATTCTAGTCTTCCTTTCTCGTGTATCTAATATCCTTCTCCACCACTGAGAAACCCAGCTCCTACCATCCAACATCAATTTACTTATTTGTTCAACCCCAATACATACGTAAGAACTGTTCACCTGTACCCCTGTGAAAAGCTCATTTAGCAATTAGAATACAGTGTTTATATACCGCTCTCTTTATATTTAGGCTTACAATTTCCACTCAAAAATGCCATTTTCCAAGTTTACTTAGGTCAGCTTTCTCTTCCACCCTCTTCAGTGTGCTTATGCCATACATTTTTAATACAGTTAGATACATTTGTCACAGACTGCATTCCATTCTAGGATCTCCCAACATCCTGGTTGATGTGTGTGTTTAGTTTGCACATGTTGAAGTTTACTCTTTGTGAAATACAGCTCTAGGGTTCTGATAAATGCACAGCATCAGTCAGTACATAAAGAACCATACGGGACATCCTTTACATAAGTTGTTTCACACTAAAAGTTCTCCTGTGCATCCCCTTTGTAGTTTAACCATTTCCTCTTTTACCTAACAGTTGAGAACCATTAATCTGTTTTCCTTCCCTAAAGTTTTGCTTATTCCAGAATGTCATATAAATGGAATCATACACTATGTAGCCTTTAGGGGCCTGCATCTTTCACTTAGTAAAATTCACTTAAAATTCATCCATTATGTTGCATGAATCAATAGCCTGAATAGTAGTATTTCATTGTACAGATTTACCAGTTTGCTTATCCATTCTCTTCATAAGACATTTGGTGGCTTCCAGTTGAAAAACGGTGCTATGAACATTAGTGTATAGGCTTTTGTGAGGACCTAAGCTTTCAACTCATTTGCCTAGGCATGTGATTGCTGGATCATTATAAGATACTGTGAAAATGTCTTACGAAGTGTACCATTTTGCATTTTCATCAGCAATGAATTCAAGTTCCTGTTGCTCTGCATCCTTGTCGCCACCACTTTGTTGTCAGCTTTTTGGGTTTTAGCCATTCTAATAGGCATGTTGTAGTATTTCATTGCGATTTTAATTTTCATTTCCCTAACAACACATGATATTGAACACCTTTCCTAAGTCTATTTGCCATTTGTATAGTTTCTTCAGTGAAGTGTCTGTTCAGATCTTATGCACATTTTTTAATAGGGCTGTTGATTTTTTTGTTGTTGAGTCTTAAGAGTCCTTTATATAATTCTGGATATAAGTCCTTTATCCAATATGTGATTAACAAATATTTTTAACTGTCTGTGGCTTCTCTTTTCAATTCTCTGAACAGTGTTTTTCACAGAGCAGTTTTTAATTTTAACAAAGCATAACTTATCAGTTTTTTTCTTTCACAGATTGTACTTCTGGTGTTGTATCTAAGAAGTCTCTGCTAAACAAAGGGTGACCTGGATTTTCTTCTCTTTTCTTCTACATACAGGTTTTTGAAATGGTGTAGTTTCTTTGGATCTTGGTTGTCCTGTGAGTTTTAGTTGCCTCAGTCTCTGCAGACTCCCCACGCCCCTTATTCCACTCTGGAAGACTACTGGACTCCATGCCGCGTGGCCTGGAGACTCCCTTCAGGCAGTAAGCTGGAGCAGTCATAGTGCTCACCTCATCAGCTTTTCATCTTTCATGAATCAATAGCATTCACTGCCTGATGTTCAATGTCTTAAAAACAGTTATTTCATATGTTTTGTCTGGTATTTGTTTTAGGAGGGAGGGTAAATCTGGTCCTGTTCCTCCATTGTGGCCAGAAGTAGAAGTCCAAGTAGTTTAATTTTATATTGTTTAAAGAAGTGAAATATATCAAAAAGTCATGGTTCATGACATTTCAGATTAGTCACTTGACAATGATAAATGTGCAGTTATTGGAGCCAGGCACCATTGCAAACAACTTGAGAACAACATTAAACAAGTCATGGATGGTTACTATCTATTCCTTCTGAGACTCAAAGACACTTTCAATAAATAAATTTGTCTTCAAGGTTTTAATTACAAGTACTATTATTAAGATAAAATTTTGCAGAGATTAAATTCATCCTGTAGGAGAAAATTAACAGATAATTTCTTTATTGTTTTCCTATACCCTTTATTTATCTCATTACGTAGAAGTTATCATTAAGTCTGATCCTAGAATGAATTTCATTAGTTTTTAATCCAGCAATCCATGAAATATTTTTGAAAACATTCTGAAAAACATTCATCAATCAGTATAAAAATATGAGCATGCCTCTCGATATTTAACACCAATATATTAGTCTGCATGGGCTACCATAACAGAACACCACAAGCTGCTGACTTAAACAACAGAAATTTATTTCCTCGCACTTCTGGAGGGGTTGAATCCAAGATCAAGGTGCTGACAGGGTCGGTTTCTGGTGAGACCGCTCTCCTTGGCTTGCAGGCTGATGCCTTCGGTGTCCTCACAAGACCTTTTCTCTATGCCTGTGCCTGCTGAGGTCTTTTCCTCTTCATACAAGGACACAGGTCCTATGGATTAGAGGCCCACCCTTCTGACCTCATTTAACCTTAGTTATCTCCTTAAAGGCCATATCTCCAAATATAGTCACATTGGAAGTTAGAATTTTACTGTATCAATTTTGAGGATATACAACTCATTCCACCCTCTCATTCCTCAAAATTGATTCCTTCTTGTGCACAAAATACATTCACCTCATCCTAACAGTCCCAAAAGTCTTAACCCATTTCAGCATCAACTACAAGTCTAAAGTATCATCTAAATATCATTTAAATCGGGTATCAGTGAGACTTGAGGTGTGATTCATCCTGAGGCAAAATTCCTTTTTAGTTGCAAACCTGTGAAACAAGACCAGATATGTGCCTCCAAAATACAATAGTGGGGCAGGCATAAAATAGACAACCCCATTCCAAAAGAGAGAAATCAGAAAGGGGTGATGGGTCCCAAGCTAGTCCAAGACCTAGCAGGGCAAATTCCATTAGCTCTGAAGGCTGAAGAATGGTCCTCTTTGGAAGGATGTTCTGCCCTCGGGCCCACTGGGGTAGCCTTGCCTTCTCAACCCTGTGTGGTAGCACCATCCCCTCAGCCCCTGGCAGTGCTCTGCTCCTGAGGCCGTAAGCCAGGGCAACCTGGACAACTGAAACCAAGGAGGTGGCCCCATGCTCTGAAATCAATGAGGGAGCCTTGCCATCTGGGCTTGTAGGCCTGGGCCTGTGGTGGCGGTGGCTGCCCTGCTGATCTCTGAATCATCGTCGGGTCATTCTTCCCTTTTTTGGAAGGATAAGGCATGTTCACAGACTAGCTCTACTATCTCATCTGGTAGAATCCCAGAAGTCCAAAAGTTCATCCCTTCTCTGTGCTTTCGTCCAAACTGGCAGTGTCTCTGCCAGTATAATCCCATCTCTACTATTACTGGCTTCTGCTGAGATGGCTGCTTGGATAATCTTTTTATGGAGTGATTGTCCAGTCACATCCTTGGTGTTCTGTCCAGAACATGCTTTTTTATTTTTCACAACATGGATGGCCTGAGAATTTTCCAAATCTTCAAGTTCTGGTTCCTTTTTGTTTAACAATTCCTTCAATTTATCTCTCCTCTCATATTTTACTAAAAGCAATAAGGAGAAACCAAGGCCATGCCTTCAACACTTTGCTCAGAAATCCCCTTGGCTAACTGTCCATGTTCATCACTTTTAACTTCCACTTTCCACAAAACACTAGAAACATAGTTCAGCCAAATTCTTTCTCAATTTATAAGAAGGACTGCCCTTCTTCCAGTTTCCAATAATATATTTCTAATTTCCATCTCCATCAGACTTTATCAGAATCATTTTTAACCATATTTTCATCATTTTAACCATCCATATTACTACCAACAGTCTCTGCAAGGCAATGTGGGCTTTCTCTAGCATGTACCTCAACACTCTTATAGTCTCTATTCATTACCCAGTTCTAAAGCCACTTCCACATATTTGGTATTTGTTATAGCAACATCCCACTTCTGCATAACAAGATCTATATTCATTAGCTAGGTGGTATTAATTAATTACTTCTGGGTAACAAGATCTGTATTGTTAATTAGTCATTAAATACAGACTACTATACCCATAAATTACATTATAAAATTTACAAACAAATTTAAAGGATGAGAAAAAAATCATTACTTAAACATCTTCTTGCCCTCTAAAGACTGTTTTGCCCATCCTGCTCTGAAGACTACAGTTCTCTAGGCCATCAATCAAATACACTGCTTAAGAGCCAGTCATTTAAAAAAAATTCTTAAAGGTGTCATTTGTTGCCAAATTCTGTTTTCTTAATTATACTGTCTACTACCCATGATTTGATAGGGATACACCTACAATCTAGAGAGAGGTAACTAATGAATTTTAATCTAATTACTATATCTAATGTTATCATTATTTATAAGAAACTGTATCCTTATATTGCTTAAAATGTAAAGTTCTAATAATGTATTCTCTTTTTTATGATTGTTATATATCGATGATAGGATAAAAGTAGTTTTTTTGAATATTTACTTTCCATTCACATGTATGCTCTCCTAGGTTTAGTTTTGCCTCCCCTTAGAATCACGACACACAATCATGTTTAAAATATTGGCAAGGGTTACTGGCATAATGTATAACTTCGGAATAGTTTCACCTGGATACACTTAATATCAGATTCAAACACACACACACACACACACACACACACACTACCATGTTCTAATTATATTAACTAGCTCAGTCACAAATATCTCAAAGGGTTCTGGAAGCCTCCCCAACAAATAACTATATATACACATGCAAGGAACGTTACCTTTCTCATCAGGAAGAGATGGCACACTGTCACTTCGTAAAGAATCATCTACAGCAGTCTGAACCTGTTCATCAATAGAACTCTCCGTCTTTTCACCATGAAGTTTCCTCTCATTTTCCTTAGAAGATGGAACTGAAGGGCTTTCTTGACGGCTACTACCACTACTACTTCTGTTTACGGATATTATGGAAACAAACAAAAAAGAAAAAGGGTGATAAAATAAGGTTCATAAATTCAAAGTAAATTTATTTGGCAAGGGGAATGTGCCTCATGATCAAGATATGAAACGATGAACGAGTAACATAAAACATAAAATGCTAAGTAGACAGAAGTCTGAGAAGAAACTGTTGTAGAAAAGAAGAAGGTTTCACTCTTAAATAGCCATGATAAGCAAGCACTACTCTCAGGCTACCACTCCCCTTTTCCTTTCATTTTAAAATCAAAATACTAGGAAAAGGGGCTTCTATTTGGCTGTTCCAACTCCCTTACTTTTCATCAACATCACAATTTATCAAAATCTACTTCAATCCCAACTACTCTACTGGAATTGTCCTTTCAACCTCCACCTAAACTTGAATTCCCAAATCAAATTGATAATTTTTCTGCAACATTATACGGTGTTGATCTCTACCTCCTTCTTTAAAAGCTCCACTAGCTAAAGCAAATGTAGTAAAACGTTAACATCAGTATAATGTGGATAAAAAATATTTAGGAACTCTATTATTCTTGCAACATTTCTGTAAGCTTGAAATTATATCAAAATTAAATGTTAAATAAAAGACTTTCCTTTCTTACACTCCTTGTTCTACTCTCACCTGCTTTTCTATCTCCCAAACCAGTTTTTCTGTTTCTTTTATATCGTTTGAATTTTCCTGGGTTTCCTTAAAATGACAGTGATTCCCAGTGTTTTGTTTTGGTCTTTTTCTCTTTTATGCTACATACTGTCCCTTGGCAATCGTATGCATCTCTGTAATTTTTTTTTTTTTTTAAAGATTTTATTTATTTATTTGAGAGAGAAAGAATGCGAGATAGAGAGCACGAGAGGGAAGAGGGTCAGAGGGAGAAGCAGACTCCCTGCCGAGCAGGGAGCCCGATGCGGGACTCGATCCCGGGACTCCAGGATCATGACCTGAGCCGAAGGCAGTCGCTTAACCAACTGAGCCACCCAGGTGCATCTCTGTAATTTTAACTAGTATCATTTAGATTGAGCCTTAAACCTATATCAACTACTTCTGCCCTTCCCTGACTTTGTCTCAAGTTTCCAAATGCTTAATGAACTTGTTTTTTTTTTCTTTTATTTTTTTTTATTATGTTCAGTTAGCCAACGTATAGTACATCATTAGTTTTTGATATAGTGTTCAATGATTCATTAGTTGCATATAAGGTCAGTGTTTTTCTTCCTCTCCCTTTGCTTTCCTTATTCATTCATTTAAATATATATATATAGAGAGAGAGAGCGCCAATCACAAGCCATGTTTTGAGATCCACTCCATAAGCTATCTCCTCTTCTGAAATGCCCTTCCTTCTCTGCCTTCCTATTTAAGGTTGTTCTGCCTCCCTGATTTAAGGCTCAGTTCAAGTATCATTTCTGCAAAGTGCTTGAGGATACCTTCTCCCACTCCCAAGGAAGGTTTGGTCACTTCTCTGTGTTTATACTGTTTTATTTTGTATGCTTCTATAACAGTATTTATCAGAATATTGTGCAATTAGTTGTCTGGTTTAATAAATGTTTTGGAAAGTATAAACCATATAATATAGCTATAAGGTAAAAGATATAATGCAGGAGAGAGCAAGTGCTTTGGAGTCAGAAGGATATGGGATTAATCTCAATTATTCTACTTAACAGTTATGTGCCAATCATTCACTAGGTAAACACGTAGTAAACTGTCTACTGTGTGCTAGGTATTTTGCTACGTTCTGGGGACAGCAGTATAGATGATCCTCACTAGGATGGCCATAATAAAAAAGAGAGACAATAAGAAATGTTGATGAGGATGTAAAAAAAATTTTATATTTTTAGTGGGTATGTGAAGTGGAGTAGCTGTTTTGGAAAAGTTTGGCCATTTTCCAAAAAATTAAGCAGAGTTATTATATGACCCAGCAATCCCTCTTCTAAGTGTATACCCAAAAGAAATGAAAACCTATGTCCACAGAAAAACTTGTACATAGATGTATGTAGCAGCACTATTCATAATAGTCAAAAAGTAGAAGCAATCCAATGTCCATCAACTGACGATAAATAAAATGTGGGATATCCATGCAAAAGAATATTATTTGTCCATATAAAGGAATAACATACTAATATGTGATAGATGAACCTAAAAACATTATGCTAAGTCAAAGAACCAGTCATAAAGAACCATACATTGTATGATGCCATTTATATGAAATGTCCAAAATAGACAAATCCACAGAGAACAGAAATAAAAAGATTAGTAGTTGTCAGAAGATGAAGAAGAAAGGGCATAAGAAATGACTGCTAAGGGATAGAGGCCCTTTTTTTGGGGTGATGAAAATGAAGACCTCAAAGAACTTCTAGTGTAGTCCATAACTGAAAAGTAAAGGAACAGGAGATAGAAGGTGGTAAAGGCTCTAACAGTTATATATATGGAGTGTTATAGGGGAACATAGAAGGGATATCTAAGGCAGACTAGGGGTAACACTGAGTCAGAGGGGAGTAAAAGTAAACTAAATGAAATAGACCACCAAAACAGTGGTCTAGAAAGAAGGTATATCTTAGAAGAGTCCAAGATGGCAGAGGAATAAAGACCTTAGCTTTGTCTGGTCCCAGGAATTCAGCTAGATAGCTATTAAATCATTCTGAACACCTGTGAACTCAACCGGAGATCTAAGAAAATAGCTACAACTCCACAAAGAGAAGAGCGACCACTTTCTGCAAGAATGACAAGATGGAAAAACTCACCTCAAAAAAGAACAAGAGGCAGTACTGACTTCCAGAGACCTAATCAATATGGATATAAGATGTTGGAATTGGTGTTCAGAATAATGATTATAAAGATATGAGCTGGGCTTGAAAAGAGCAAAGAAAACACTAGAGAATCTCTATCTGGAGAAATAAAAGAACTAAAATCTAATCAAGTTGAAATAAAAAAGACTATTAAGGAAATGCAATAAAAAAATGGAGGCTCTAACTGCTATAACTGCTGGGATAAATTAGGCAGAAGAGAGAATTTGTGATACAGAAGACAAAATGATGGAGCATAAAGAAGCTGAGAAAAAGAGATAAACAACTACTGGATCACGAGGGGAGAATCTGAGAGATAAGGGATACCATAAAGCGAAACAATATTAGAATAATTGGGATACCAGAAGAAGAGGAAAGGGGGAGGCAGAAAGCATACTGGAACAAATTATAGGAGAGAACTTCCCTAATCTGGGGAAGGAAACAGGCATTCAAGTCCAGGAGACACAGAGAACCCCCTCAAAATCAATAAAAATAGGTCAACACCCCGACATCTAATAGTAAAACTTACGAGTCTCAGAAACAAACAGAAAATCCTGAAAGCAGCTCAGAACAAGAGCTCTGTTACCTACAAGGGTAGAAACATTAGACTGGAAGCAGACCTATCCACAGAGATCTGGCAGGCCAGAAAGGACTGGCATGATATATTCAGGGTGCTAAATGAGAAAAATATGCAGCCAAGAATATTTTATCCAGCAAGGCTGTCATTCAGAATGGAAGGAGAGATAAAAAGCTTCCAGAACAAATAGAAACTAAAAGAATTTGTGATCACTAAAGCAGCCCTGCAAGAAATATTAAAGGGGATCCTTTAAGCGAAGAGAGAGCCCAAAAGTAACATAACCAGAGAGGAACAGAGACAATATACAGAAACAGTGATTTTACAGGTAGGACAATGGCACTAAATTCATATCCTTCAATAGTTACTCTGAATGTAAATGGGCTAAATGCCCCAATCAAATGACACAGGGTATCAGACTGGCTAAAAAAGCAAGACCCATCAATATATAGTCTACAAGAGACTCATTTTAGACCCAAAGACACCTGTAGATTGGAAGTGAGGGGGTGGAGAACAATTTATCATGCTAATGGACATCAAAAGAAAGCTGGGATAGCAATCCTTATACCAGACAAATTAGATTTTAAACCAAAGACTGTAATAAAAGGTGAAAAAGGACACTATATCATAATTAAAGGGTCTATCCAACAAGAAGATCTAACAATTTTAAACATTAATGCCCTTAAAATGGGAGCAGCCAATTAAACTAATTAATAACAAAATTAAAGAAACATACTGATATTAATACAATAATAGTAGGGGACTTTAACACCCCACTCACTGCAATGGACAGATCATCTAAGCAGAAGATCAACAAGGAAACAAGGGCTTCGAATGACACACTGGATCAGATGGACTTCACAGATAATATTCAGAGCATTCCATCCTAAAGCAAGAGAATACACATTCTCCTCTAGTGCCCATGGAACATTCTCCAGAATAGATCACATACTGGGTCACAAATCAGGTCTCAACCAGTACCAAAGATTGGGATCATTCCCTGCATATTTTCAGACCACGATGCTTTGAAACTGGAACTTAATCACAAGAGGAAATTTGGAAAGAACTCAAACACATGGAGGTTAAAGAGCATCCTACTAAAGAATGAATGGGTCAACCAGGAAATTAAAGAAGAATTAAAAGAATTAATGGAAACAAATGAAAACACAACTGTTCAAAACCTGTGGGATGCAGCAAGGAGGTCCTAAGAGGGAAGTACATAGCACTACAAGCCTTTCTCAAGGAACAAGAAAAGTCTCAAATACACAACCTAATCCTACACCTAAAGAAGCTGGAGAAAGAACAGCAAATAAAGCCTACATCCAGCAGGAAAAGAGAATTAATAAAGATTACAGCAGAAATTAATGAAATAGAAACCAAAAGAACAGAACAGATCAACGAAAGTAAGAGCTGGTTCTTTCAAAGAATTAATAAAACTGATAAACACCTGGCCAGACTTACGAAAAAGAAAAGAGAAAGGACTCAAATAAACAAAATCATGAATGAAAGAGATCACAACCAACACCAAAGAAATACAATTAAATAAGAACATATTAAGAGCAATTATATGCCAACAAATTAGGCAATCTGGAAGAAATGGCTGCATTCCTAGAGATGTATAAACTACCAAAAGTGAAACAGGAAGAAAGAAAAAACCTGAACAGACCCATAAGCAGCAAGGAAATTGAAGCAATAATCAAAAATCTCCCAACAAACAAGAGTTCAGGGCCCGATGGCTTCCCCGGGGAATTCTACCAAACATTTAAAGAAGAATTAATACCTATTCTTCTGAAGCTGTTTGAAACAACAGAAATGAAAGGAAAACTTCCAAACTCCTTTTATGAGGCCAGCATTACCTTGATCCCAAAACCAGACAAAGACCCCATCAAAAAGGAGAATTACAGACCAATATCCTTGATGAACATGGATGCAAAAATTCTCACCAAGATACTAGCCAATAGGACCCAACAGTACATTAAAAGGATTAATTCACCACGACCAAGTGGGATTTATTCCTGGGCTGCAAGGTTGGTTCAATAACCGCAAATCAATCAATGTGATACACTACATTAATAAAAGAAAGGTCGAGAACCATATGATCCTCTCAATAGATGTAGAAAAAGCATGTAACAAAGTACAGCATCTTTTCTTGATTAAAACTCTTCACAGTGTAGGGATAGAGGGAATATACCTCAATATCATAAAAGCCATCCATGAAAACCCCACAGCAAGTATCATTCTCAGTGCGCAAAAACTGAGAGCTTTTCCCCTAAGGTCACAAACACGGCAGGGATGTCCACTACACTGTTGTTCAACATAGTACTAGAAGTCCTAGCCTCAGCAATCAGACAACAAAAAGAAATAAAAGGTATCCAAATTGGCAAAGAAGAAGTCAAACTCTCACTCTTTGCACACGACATGATACTCTTACGTGGAAAACCCAAAAGACCCATCCTAAAATTGCTAAAACTCATACAGGAATTCAGCAAAGTGGCAGGATATAAAATAAATCCACAGAAATCAGTTGCATTTCTATACACTAACAATGAGACAGAAGAAAGAGAAATTAAGGGTTGATCCCATTTACAATTGCACCAAAAACCATAAGATACCCAGAAATAAATCTAACCAAAGAAGCAAAGGAAAGGTATTCGGAATACTATAGAACACTCATGAAAGAAATTGAGGAAGACACAAAGAAATGGAAAAACCTTCCATGCTCATGGACTGGAAGAACAAATATTCTTAAAATGTCTATGCTATCTAGAGCAATCTATATATTCAATTCAATCCCTATCAAAATACCATCAACTTTTCCACAGAGCTGGAATAAATAATCCTAAAATTTGTTTGGAACCAGAAAAGACCCCAAATAGCCAAAGGAATGTTGAAAACAAAAGCCAAAGCTGGTGGCACCACAATGCCGGACTTCAAGCTAAAACAGACACACAGATCAAGGGAACAGGATAGAGAACCCAGAAATGGACCCTCAACTCTGTGGTCAACTAATCTTCAACAAAGCAGGAAAGAATATCCAATGGAAAAAAGACAGTCTCTTCAACAAATGGCGTTGGGAAAATTGGACAGCCACATGCAGAAGAATGAAACCGGACCATTTCCTTACACCATACACAAAAACAGACTCAAAATGGATGAAAGACCTAAATGTGAGACAGGAATCCATCAACATCCTAGAGGAGAACACAAGTAGCAACCTCTTTGACCTCAGCCGCAGCAACTTCTTCCTGGACACATCACCAAAGGCCAGGGAAGCAAGGTCAAAAATGAACTATTGGGACTTCATTAAGATAAAAAGCTTTTGTACAGCAAAGAAACAGTCAACAAAACCAAACGACAACTGACAGAACAGGAGAAGATATTTGCAAGTGTCTTATCCTATAAAGGGCTGGTATCCAAAATCTATAAAGAACTTATCAAACTCAACACCCAAAGAACAAATAATCCAATCAAGAAATGGGCAGAAGACATAAACAGATATTTCTCCAAAGAAGACATACAAATGGCCAACATACACATGAAAAAATGCTCAACATCAGCATCAGGGAAATACAAATCAAAACCACAATGAGATACCACCTCACACCAGTCAGAATGGCTAAAATTAACAAGTCAGGAAATGACAGATGTTGGCGAGGATGTGGAGAAAGGGGCACCCTCTTACACTGCTGGTGGGAATGCAAACTGGTGCAGCCACTCTGGAAAAATAGTATGGAGGTTTCTCAAAAAGTTAAAAATAGAGCTACCCTATGACCCAGCAATTGCACTACTAGGTATTTACCCCAAAGACACAAATGTAGGGATCCAAAGGGGTATGTGCACCCTGATGTTTATAGCAGCAATGTCCACAATACCCAAACTATGGAAAGGGCCCAGATGTCCATCAATGGATGAATGGATAAAGGAAATGTAGTATATACATACAATGGAACACTACTCAGCCATCAAAAAAAAGAAAGAAATCTTGCCATTTGCAACGACGTGGATGGAACTAGAAGGTATTATGCTAAGTGAAATAAGTCAATCAGAGAAAGACAATTATCATATGATCTCACTCATATGTGGAATTTAAGAAACAAAACAGAGGATCATAGGAGAAGAGAGGGAAAAATGAAACAGGATGAAATCAGAGAGGGAGACAAACCATAAGAGACTCTTAATCACAGAAAACAAACTGAGGGTTGCTGGAGGGGAGGTGGGAGTGGGGATGGGGTAACTGGGTGATGTAATGGAAGGCATGTGATGTAATGAGCACTGGGTATTATATGAGTGATGAATCACTGAACTCTAAATCTGAAATAGTACATTATGTGTTAATTAATTGAATTTAAATTAAAAAAACAGAAAGTGTATCATATGTAATGGCACAAAAGAGAGAGAGAGCATGGCTCTTTTTTTAGAGAATACATTAGAGTAGTTATAATTAGTGGAATATGGTAAGAGGGGAAATGCCACGAGACAGGGTTGGAGATGGACCAAAGCCTCAATAATAAAGGGACTTTCATGCTCTACTCCACTCAACTGAGTGGCTCTAAAGAAATACTGAAGGTTTCAAACAGGTAACAAATTGGCTGCAAATTTTAGAAAAATCACTCTAGTTACCAAGTAGTTAGTGAAGAGATTAGGGAATGGTTTGGGAAGAGATTGGGAAAACTATGAGGAATCCCCTATAGTGACCCAGCTGACGGCCTCAATGAACTGTCAGTGAAGGTTAAATCAAAGGCATATAGTTCCAGAGATATAGTAGGTACTTAATACCCCACACTAATGTTTTTTAGTCTCATGATTTAATTTTTTAAATGAGGTTTTAGTTTGACAATGTAGGTATCCTACCTCTAAGAATGCTGGAAAAGGAGCTTCGAAAATCTTCTAATCCAAGGACAGAACCATAATTGAAAACTACAGATGTTAATACCATGCAAGAACCAATGACAAAGTATTTGATCTTCTTTTATAATTATAACAATTAGTACATACAGTAATGTCAAGAAATATGGATGTTAGCAAAGCAATGCCCAATAAACATAGGCCTTGGAGCCAGATAAACCAAGGTTCAATTCCTTGGTGTGCTACTTTCTATGTGACCTTAGGTGAGTTTCTTAGCAACTCCATGAGCCTCTGGTTCCCTACTATAAAAAGAGAACAATATCTGTCTTGGAAGGTTGTTGTGAAGATTAAATGCAGGAAAAAGAAATTGACATGGAGCTTATACAAGGCAGGCTCTCAAGGAACGGTAGTTACATTACTACATAGAACAACTATTTTATAAATCAGCTAGTCAAATAGGGGAAAGTCAGAACTTTGAAGGGAAGACACTATTTTATTTAAAGAAATGAGATTAAGAAGTAAAAAAAGAAAGCAATGTCTAAGCCATTTATCACACTTTACTAAATCAAAGTGTTTTCACCTTCGATCATGATTCTTGTATCTTGAAGACTCAGAGTAACTATCAAATGAAGGGGAATACTTCTGATGCTTTGAGTCAAGGGTCCCTTCTTTACTCTGAGAGAGTGAAACAGATTGATTTTTCCTGCAAAGAGAATAAAAACTGATTAAACATTTAAAGTCTCTTATAAGGGAAGGATTTTAAATGTCATTTAACATTAATATGAGATAAAATCTTGAATAAATAGAAATTATGAAATAGCTATAACAAAGTATTTAAGAAAGACATTCACTCATAGAAAAGAGTATCTTTTGCTTTATGAGAAATAAACACATATCACCCCAAGTATCAGTAAATGTGAATAAGGACTTAAATCTATGAATTCAAGACAGTCGAAATGTGATGTAAAAAACTACACACAAACATGATCACAACACCCAGGCTGCCTGAGAAACTTATGACTTTTCACTGTTCCTAGAATAAACTCCAAAATCCACAAGGTCTGCAATGTCCTACCATAATCTGATCCCTGCATCATCTCCTACCATTCTCCCCTTTGTTCTCTGTCGCCGGTCACATTCTTCCCTCATTTTCTCTTCCTACTGACCTGCCTATTCTTTTTTTTTTTTTTTTTTTAAAGATTTTATTTATTTATTCATGAGACACAGAGGGAAACTGAGAGAGAGAGAGAGAGAGAGAGAGAGAAGCAGAGGGAGAAGCAGGCTCCCAAGGAGCAGGGAGCCCGATGCGGGACTCGATCCCAGGACCCTGGGATCATGACCTGAGCCGAAGGCAGATGCTTAACCATCTGAGCCACCCAGGCGCCCTGACCTGCCTATTCTTTATCTGCTTTAATCACGGACTCCTTTTCATCCATTAGATCTCACCATAAGCTTTCCTTCCTCAGGAAAACCTTCTCTGACGTTGCTGTACCCCCAGGCTATTCAAATTCCTTTGTTATATGTCTCAGGGATATATGTTCTTTTCGCTCATAACACTTGTCTAAGTTTGTAACTATTCATTCACTTAAGTGAATATGTGATTATACTATCTACCTTCCCCACTACACTGTATGCCCATAACTATATTCCCAGTACCCACAACAGTGCCTGGGACTTAGTAGATACTCATTGCATATTAGCTGAATGACTGAATATTAACCTATCCGTTTCAGCTCTGGTCCTCAGCTGTTTCACAAAGTCTGGAGCATGCTGTCGGTGGTGGTCGTATAGCGTTGCCAGGGGAGCTCCTGAAGCAGTGATGGCATCTGAGATATGAGTTCGAGTCAACTCTGCCATCTAAATAAGAACACACAAGGCAAAAGTAGATGTGAAAAAAAAAAATCACAGAAAACTGAGAAGGAGCACAGTGTCTTCGAAAGATCACTGGATTAAGAGCAAGTAAATTCTGCCATTAACAGGTAAAACACTGTGGGCAAGTCATTTAGATTTTTTAAGTCTCAACAGCTTCCTTATAAAAATAAAGAGTTGGCTGGACCACAAGATTTCTAAGGTTTCATCTAGCTATAGCAACCTATGAATTAAAGCAAAATTTTCAAGTCATATAATAAGCCATAATAAACCAAAAATAAATCTTCTTTAAGAATCAACTCAATTACTACTTCCTATATCTGTTTTCTGACCTACAATGTGAGGTATTTTCCCTACTCTTCTACTCTTCACTACTGCAACTGCTGCATGTATTATTCATTTGGTGTTCATTCAATCACTGCCTTGACAACTTGAAGTGTTTTTGAAATCTTTGCTAATGTTGTCTAAAATTTTCTTAAAAGAATCTATACTTATTTGCACAATCCCATACTACCCAACCCAGTAGGTTCCTGACTTTTTAATATTAATAACAAAGTCATTTCACAAACAATCCTAAATTGTACCTGCTAAAATAAACTGAAACTACAGCTATAGATTATGATATCCCATATACAGACAACAGTAAAACTATTTCTGGGTTTACCCTTGGTACAGTAAAAGACAAGACACTAACATCACTGTAGGTGAAAAGGAACCATTTTCATACAAAGCAAATCAATGGCTTCCTGGGACCGAAGTTGGGGACTGACTAGATAGGGGCATGAAGAAACTTTTTAGTGTTGGAAATACAGTTGATCTCTGAACAACATGGGGGTTAGAGGTGCCAAACCACAAGCAGTCGAAATCCGTGGATAACTTCTAATTCCCCCAAAATGGAACTACTAAATAGCCTACTGTTGATTGGAAGCCTTACCCATAACATAAACAGTTGATTAACACATATCTTATACATTTTATGTATTTTATACTGTATTATTAAAATAAAGTAGGCTAAAGAAAATGTTATTAAGAAAATCCTAAGGAAGAAAAATTACATTTATAGTACTGTACTGTATTTGTCAAAAAAAATTTAGCATGTAAGCAGACCCTCACAGTTTCAACCCATGTTGTTCAAGATTCAACTGTATTCTATTTCTTGATTATGGTGGTGTTTATAGGGATGGACAGATAGATAAGAAAAGACACAGAAATATGTAGATATATATACGTATATCTGATTAGATACCTGTATCTGTATATTTGTCAAAACTCATCAAATAATAAAATGGATATATTTTATTGTCTGTAAATTATACATCAATAAAATCAATACAGTTTTAAAAAGCTTTTCAAGGGCAGACATTAAGAGTTCTCTATTTTTTCTGCCTCTGTATCATTCACATGTACAACATACTGCAGTAAATGGTGCCTCTTAATTCAATAATGTATGGCTCCCACTGAAGTCAGCAATCAAAAGTACGTATTTGCTAGATGTGAGAAACTGCTAAGACCAAATCTATTCAGACTGACTAAAAAGAAAAGGGTTTCTCAATGGCCTTACTTCACAGATTTGGCGAGCCGCATCTGTGGTGACGCGAGCAGTGTCTGCTTGGTGAGCGGCTATTTTACAAGTTGCTTCCTGCAGGACCTCAGTTACTTCCCTTTGTGATTTGACCACCTGCTGTATGGATTCTGCATGGACCTGAAAATAAAAGGGAGTAAAAAGAGAACTTCTGTTATGTCTCAGTCTCTCCCCACCCCAAATGTTTCATGGCTCAAGTGCCTTGTAAAACAAACACTCGACTATCATCTGGATTTCATGTCTTAAAATCTAGAGTTTAGAGTCTTAAAATTACTGCTGGAGTTTAATTTTTAATTCCACCATTCACGAGCTGATGTTTCTTTAGGCAAGTAACTACTATGTACCTCAGCTTCCACTTCTCTAAATTGGGGATAAATCTTGACTAACTTAACTCACAGGATTGCTACAAGAGTCAAATGACATGAAATTAACCCATAATGGCATAATATACTAAAGCAATATTATATCTTTTCTTTTTTACTCCTATATAATTAAAAGAATACTGAAGTGATTTCAAAGATACAAATTTAGATTTAAAGAACCAGTGCCTGCTGCAAATGTAAGTACCTGAGCTGCTTTGTTTCGGGTTTCTTCTAACTGTCTCTGACATTCTAAAGCCTCTTGTTCAGCCTTCAATTTCAAAAGGGCCAAGTCTCTTTCATGGCGTTGCTGCTGTGCCTTCAAAATAAAAAAATGAGCAACTATTAATTCTAAGATACTAAACCATTTTAACACAGTGACGATACTACCCGTAATACTATTTTCCTAACATAGTATTTTTTGAAGCAACCAATTAGAATGTAAAGACAGCAAATAGGATAGCCCTAAATCATTTATCTAAATATTTAATGACCACCTACCACGTGTCAAATAATGCAATAACATAAAAAATTTCCAAGGTATACAGGACTAAGAACTCATACCAAAAAGCTAGTTTTAAAGCAAAAGCTACAGTACCTAACTCTTTAAAAGAGATTAAAATGTCCTATGTGTAAAAATAAAGATAACAGAATTTTAGGATTCCTTTATTTTGGCTTTACAGGAGTAGTTTCATGAAAATATTGCCCCAGAAAAGGTCTCCTTCTCACCAGGACGCTTTCTTTCCACTATTTCATACAACACTATCAATCAATTTATATTTTTTCACTTCTTCTGGAATAGTGCTAAATACAGGTTTTCTAAAGGTGGAAAGGCTGTATATAAAGTTATATAATGCCCTGTACAAATCTGGAAGCCCAGAATTATAATGTATCCCTAAAATGGTAGAAAATCTCAGTACTATTTTGGATTTCAAGGTAATGGCCACTACATTGGGGCCAATTTCCCCAATCCAGTGATTTTTAACCAGGTTGTTACCAGTCCGTCCCCAGTCTCCATCAAGGAGACTTGGAAATGTCTGGGGAGTTTTTGCTGTCATGATGACTGGACAGCGTTAGTATTATTTATTGGGAGAAGTGCAGGAATGCTCAACTCCTTGAAAAGTATGGGAGAGTTCCACACAAAGAATGGTCTTTAAGTATTTTGGGAAGAACAAATGCAAAACAAAACTGAGAAAAAAATTATTTACAACAGCAACAGGAGACATAAAATATCTAAGAATAAATTTAAAAATGTGTAAGGTCTCCATACTGAAAAATACATTGCAGAGAGAAATATTTTTAAAACCTAATAGAAAGAGGTATCATGCTTACAAATTAGAAAATGACATACTGTTAAGATGTAAATTCTCTCCCCAAACTGATTGACAGATTCAATGCCAGTCATATCAAAATCAATCTAAAAATAAAAAACCAGGCTTTTTTTTGTAGAAGCTGACAAACTAATTCTAAAAGTTATATAGAAATGCAAAAACCTAGAATAGCCTTTCTCAATAGCCTTGAGAAAGAACAAAGTTGAAATAATTACACCTTGACTTCATGACTCACTCTAAAGACATAGTAAAACAGTACGGCACTGGTGTTAAGGATAGACAAATAGATCAATGGAAAAGAAGAGAGTCCAGAAACAGACCTCCATATAAGTGATTACTTAACTGTTAACAAAGGTGCCAAGGTAATTTAAGTCTTTTTTAAGAAAATGGTGACGGAACAACTGAAAATCCAGATGGAGGAAAAGATGAACTTTGGTCCCTTCTTCACACTCCATAAGTAACTAGATGGCTCACACAATTAAATATAAAAGCCAAAACTATAAAGCTTTTTAGAAAAACATAAAAGAATATCTTTGTTAAAGTATCTTAACAGGGTAAGCAAAGACTTCTTAGAAAACAAAAGGCACTACAATAAAAGAAAAAAATTAAAAACTAGATTTCATTAAAATGAAAATATTCTGCACTTAAAAAGATACAGTTTAAAAATGAAAAGACAAAAAATATTTTTTAAAAATTAACCGGCAAGCTAAGGACTGGGAAACAGTATTCGAAATATATCTAAAAAGGACCTGTTTCTAGGATAAAGAACTTCTACAACAATAAAAAGAAGATATACAACCCTATTATGTGAAATAGGCAAAAAATCTGGACATTCACAAAAGATATAAGAATCATCAATAAATAACAAAAAGATTATCAACCTCATCAGTCATAAAAGAAATGCAAATTAAAACCACAATGAGATACTATTTCATACTCACTAGAATGCCTAGAATAACAATGACAGCAAAAATGTGGAGCAACTGGGACTCTCATAGATTGCTATATGAGTATAAGATAGTACAACTACTCTGGAAAACAGTATAGCAGTTTCATATAAAGTTGAGCATATACTTTTACTTGACCCAAGCAATTACACTCATGGGTATTAAAGCAAGAAAAATGGAAACATATGCTGAATACAGAGTTGTAAAAAATATTCATAACAGGAATATTTTAATAGTCAAAAACTGGAAACAATACATACGTACATCAAGAGGAGAAGGGATAAACAAACTGTGTTATATTGATCAATGGAATATTACTCAGCAAAAAAGTAACACGAACAATAGATACAACAACATGGATGAATCTTAAAAACATTATACCACATAAAATAAGCTAAACACAACAAAGTACAAAGTATATTTCCATTTATATGAAGTTCTAGAACAGGCAAAAATAAACTGTGGTGATTAGGAATCAGAATAGTAATTGCCTCTGGGAGAGGGGATTAACTGAAAAGGTCCATGGGTGAACTATCTGAAGTGACAGAAATGTTCTCTATTTTGATTAGGGTTGTGGTTACATTGATCAAAACTCATCAAACTGTGCACTTAAAATCTGTGTATTTTATATGTAAATACTAAGGTTTTTTTTGTTATTTGTTTTTTTAAAGATAGCAACAGCAACTCCACATCAGAACACTGCTTCTACCTTTACTGGATTTTTCTTAGCTAAGGAAAAGTCCACATTATCCTGGCTTTATCAAATACCTGGATCTCAGAAACTTTTCTTTTTGGTACAAATAAAGCATTAAAAACAAAACAATAAAAACTCAGTCATCTCTGATTTGTCAGTGAAAGAAAATATTGAGAACTGCTTGATGAGCTGATTTTTACAGTCATTTAAAAAAAAAAGAATGAGGAAAATGAAATATTTGAGAGAAAATGGCTGAATTATTGTTCTGCTGCCAAATATTCTATGTTTAACTTTTTTAGTACTCTATATGACAGTTTTCCCCAGGGTTATTTATAGGTGTTGTATGGCAAGACTATTTTTTTCTACTTAGCAGGTTAAAGTTTTGTGTGCTGGTTTTGGTTTTTGACCTCATCATTGAAACTATTTTAAATAGCAAAGAAAAGAGAAAAAACACAGAAAGCTAAAGAAGAAAACTCCAAAAATACCTTTATGATCTGAGCCAGAGATACACTCTCCTGCTGAGCAAGTGATATGCCTCTAACTCTTTCCACATCTGATAGCTGGCGCACTGACTCCTCAATGGCACTCAGGTAACTGAGTTCTGCCGCCATACGATGCTGGAGGCCAGCAGGAGAAAAGCGCTTAGAACCTGGAAGGCATAAGCAACTGGCAAATGTAAAAGAAACGACCTCTCAGATTTTTGAAATTCATTTTTCATTTTAAGAACCAAAAAGTTTGCTTTCGATTGCAGGAAAGATAGTGACTTAATTAGCACGGTGTCCATTTTCCAGGTGTGTTTTGACTCAGGCTGGCAAAAGGGGAAAAATCACCACTGTCGAATCTGTCATGCTTTTCAATATTTCTTTTCCTGCACAATTTTGAATACTTCAAAAAGTAATCACATTCACTTGATGGGATAATATTTCCCTACAGTTCGACTGAAAGAAAAGGGATTTTAAGGGACAAAAGTAGTATCTTAAATTACAAGTGCATAGATCTACTTGCCTGGTGTTGAGGCCATCTCTGTTGTTCTGCTGGCAGCAAGGTTCATATCGGTAAAAGGTGCATTAGGCTTAAATCCTGTTATAGATGGAGGCGTTATTACCGAGGATTTAGATCTTTCTAATGAAGTTCCTGGAAGGTCAAACTGCAACAATTTCTGGGAACTTGGAGACAGGGGAGAAGTTGGAGTTTTCTGAGATCTTCCCTTGTCTGATGAGACACTAGAAGTTTTGTTTCATAAAGATGTTAGAGAAAGGAAAACTACTTCAAGAGCCACTAAACAATTCATAAGAACATCATGCATTACATTCTTTATTGACATTTAAAAGGCTGTGATTCAGGCATTTAATAATTCAACATAGTCGCCATGTTGAATGAATGAATGAGTACGGCTCTCATTGCTAGACTTACAGTGGTGAATGAGCCAGGCACAAACCCTGCCCAAAATAATAAAATAGAAAAGGAGTCTCAATTAAATTGGCACTTAACTCTTTCTTCTACAATGTACATATATAATGAATCACTTATTACAGTATGAGGCAAAACCTTCTAAAATACATAGACCTCATATAGCAATAAAATTACAGCCATATATAAAAGGTAAGGTCAAGCCTATCATATAAAAAATGTCTTAAAATATATCTCTGAAAGAGATAAAGTTGTCATTTTGTATTAAAGATTAAGAAATGACAAAATCCACTCTTTTGTTATTCCTCTTAACCCAAAAAGTCACAGCAAAAAATTATTTTCCTAACTATCTCTAAGTACTTTATATGTACTCATTTGTTTTCATCTATCTTCTAATGTTATAGTTCTTTCCTGCACTTTCTAATAAGAAGTAACCTCTCATAAGCAGTCTGATTATAACTCTTAATGTATTTATTTCAATACAAGGCACATGCCTAGCCCCTGAGAAATTAGACTCATTAAATTTACTGTTTCTCATAACAAAAAGATGTTGCCACGCACTAAACATTTATTTATTGAATAAATTACTTAAAGATACTTCATAAAGTTAACCCAGTTAACATATTTCTAACATAGTAAAACAAGTTTACTTTTAGCTTTCATAAAACCAGGAGATAGTTTTCAAAGATAGACATTTCTCTTAAATCCAGCATATAAGTATTCGAATAAAAGTAGTCTTGAGAGGTACTCACTTGTTTACAGTGACTTAATTTACTATTGATGCTTTAGAGAACTACTATTTCTAATAGTCTGACAACCTCATTTATGGAATAGAAAAAGAATTTTATTCCTTCTGTCTCTTACTAGATTTCCAAGAAAGAATTCCAACACAATATCAAAACCAAGTATTCTGCCTGAATCTCACCTTGTGGTTTTACAAACTGAATTTGAATTTGCTCTGCAAAGAAGATTCACCTAGACTAGCATTTCCAAAATTATGCTTCCAATGATGTTAATAAATTTTCCAAAAAATAAAAAGGACAGAAAAGTAAAGAGCTTGGGGACAGAGAGTATAGCCAAATAAATAAAGAAAAAAATAGGTTAAATATTTTTTTAAAAATCCAAACACCTCTTCATCAAAGCCTTAAATCATAGGCGAGGAAGGTGGCAGGGGAAGTCTATTCTAGAGTAGGGGGCATTTATCAAACTTATTTGGCTGTGGATTCTGTTTCAGAAATGTTTAACTTTGCAGATTTTGCCAAATAAATTATCATGAATATCCCTAAGGAAAGGTAAAGTTTTCTGACAAAAAAATTAAAATTCAATTTTAAACATAGCAATGATGGAATTAACGATGTAAGATTTACAACATGAAAGCATTAAAACTGATTATCTGTGACACTGTACTAGAAAAAGCAAACAGTTTTAAAAGAAAAAAATAAATCCATGTCTTCTCAGAGCTTAAATTTCCAGAAGGACAAAACTGGTGCAATAGATAAAAAGCCATGCAGACAAAGGAATAGACACTGCATATGAAGCAATCACAAAATGTCATATATAAGCCACAGACTCAGTGTATAATACTGTATGATAATTAAAAAGAAGGAAAAGAAAAAGAGTATGCAAGCTCTCCGTAATCATAATAAGAGTGAGATTTCAAAATCTGCTTGAGTCATCAAATAAGTTGAGGAGAGAAAAGTTCACAGGAAGAAACAGATGAGACAAAAGGATGCTAAGTAGTTGTGTTGAAAGAGTGGATGAACACAGATGAGAAGAAATGTATAGATAAAGGAAATGAGATAGTCTCTGGTAGCCTAGTGAAACACTTCAAATAAAGTTAAGTTCTTGGGAGTTCATCTACAGAGTAGCTGTGAGCTCACAGGGTACCCTAAGGAGAGCAGTTGCTTGGTCAAAGGATTGATTCAAGATAACAACAGTGGCAATGGCATTTAGAATAGAAAGGTGGATTGTGCTAGAGGCAAAGTATTCCTGAGAGAGGCTGTAATAGTTTAGGTGAGAGATGACCATATTTTAAAATATAAAGACCCAAACTATGAACAAAACTACCAAGTCTATTCAGAAAATACAGCAATTTATTGAATGGATTCTCTGAACATCAATGATATTATAACTTCAATTAAATATGAATTACAGGTATAAAATATACATTACCTCACAGAATGCCCAGGAAGATCCTCCAAAATGCTATCAGTATCAAGAGTCTGCTCATAATCTTTAACAGAAAGTTTGCTACTGGTCCCAGATTTCTTTCCTTGATGAGAGCCACGTTCTGAGCCAGAGTGTACTTTCTCCTCATCAAGAAGTGAGTTCTGAACATTTCCAGTGAGTGAATCCAGCCCTATAAAGCAAATTTCTTATAAAGCTGATTCCCAATGTCAGAAGCTACTGAGAAATAATTGATATCTATATTTCAAGTAATAAAATGTACAGATCAGACTTTTTAAAAGTTATTTTTCATATATAAAATAAAGTAGTTCATCCTTCTGCTTCAGTTTAAGAATAAAGTTTCTTCCATTAACCCCCACTTGATGTTAAAAAATAAATTGTTCTTAAATAAAATGGTAAAAAATAGACAAACAGATTAAGCAAGAATGAAATACTGTTCTATCCCTATGAAAAAGTAACCTTTTGAAGACCTATAAGGATAAAATCCAGAGCTGGGAGAAAAACAGTATCAAATGCCAACTGAACGGGGCACCTGGGTGGCTCAGTCATTAAGTGTTTGCCTTCGGCTCAGGTCATGATCCCAGGGTCCGAGGATCAAGCCCTGCATCGGGCTCCCTGCTCAACCAGGAGCCTGCTTCTCCCTCTCCCACTCCCCCTGCTGTGTTCCCTCTCTCACTGTCTCTCTCTGTCAAATAAATAAACAAAATCCTTTAAAAAAAAAAAAGCCAACTGAACTACACATTTTTAAAAACTTTATGACAAGAACTATGTAGCCAGATTCATATAACTGCTCATATTCTGACTCAGAATAATCTTCCTTCTAGGTGTATCTTGAGATTATTGAAATAAACAAAAATTATGCATGATATTGAATGTACAACTTTAAAATTTTTTAAATTTTGACCTAAATTTCCAACAACTAAAGAGTTGTCTAAATTACATAGATAACAGTAACTTGAACATTAGTAACTAGCACTTTGTAATTTAAAATGCACTCCACATACATTATCGCTCTTAAACATCTTATGAACTGAATACCATACGCTCAATTTACTGATGAGGTAACTAGAAATCTATGAGGCTATGTAACTTGCTAGAGGATACATGGTCACAGAGAAATAAAACATAAAAACAGGTCTCATGACTCTAAGTCTAGGGCAGCCTGATTTTATGTTTCAATAGCAACATGAGAAAATATTTGTTACATTTTAAAAAGCAGAAAAAAGAACTGCATATATACTCTAATGACAGCAAAAAAACTTCTAACGTAGATATATGGTTAAAGATCAAAAGAAAATGAAAAAGGAAACAATTATGCTGTACACCCATGTTCACAGCGGCATTATTCACAGTAGCCAAAAGGTGGAAGCAGCCCAAGTGTCCTTCAACAATGAATGAATACACAAAATGTGGTACTTACGTACAATGATATATTACTCAGTCTTTTTTTTTTTTTTTTTAAAGATTTTATTTATTTATTTGACAGAGAGAGAGAGATCGCGAGAGCAGGAACACGAGCAGGGGGAGTGGGAGAGGGAGAAGCAGGCTTCCCGCTGAGCAGGGAGCCCGATGCGGGGCTTGATCCCAGGACCCTGGGACCATGACCTGAGCCGAAGGCAGACGCTTAACGACTGAGCCACCCAGGCAAGGAAGGACATTCTTTTTATTTTATTTTTTTTAAGAGAGAGAACGCGAATGCACGAGTGCGTGAGAAAGGTGAGGGAGGGAGGGGCAGAAGGCAAGAGAGAATCCCAAGCCAAGGCGCTGAGCATGGAGCCCAAAGCTGAGCTCGATCTCACAGTCCTGAGATCACGACCGAACTGAAGCCAAGAGTCCGATGCTTAACCAACTGAGCCACCCAGGTGCCTCGAAGGAAGGACATTCTGACACACACTACAACGTGGATGAATCTTAAAGCACATCATGCTAAAATAAGCCAATCACAAAAGGACTAAATTGTATGATCATACACTTATATGAAGTACCTAGAGTAGGCAAATCCATAGAAACACAAAGTAGACATTTGTTACCAGAGACAAGGGGGAGAGGAAAATGAGAGTTATTACCTAGGGGAAAAGAGTTTCAGCTTGGGATGCTGAAACGGTTCTGGAGATGGACAATGGTGACAACTGCACAACATGAATGTACTTCATACCACCAAAATGTACACTTAGCAACAGTTAAATCACCTAGTCAAATTCAAAGACAGAAAGTAGAATGGTGGCTGCCAGGAGTACGGCAGGGACAGGGACAACAACCGAGGAATGGGAAGTCACTGTTTATTCAATGGGCCCAGAGTTTTATTTAGTATGGGATGACAAAAAAGTTACAGAGATGGATGATGATAATGGTTGCAAACACTGTAAAAACAACAACAACAACAACAAAAACAACAACAACTCAATGCCACCGAACTGGACACTTAAAATGGTTAAAATAAGGGGGAGAAGGTATTTGCAAAGGATACATTTGATAGGGAGTTAATATCCAAAATATATAAAGTACTGACTTCATATAGTGTTGTGTCAATACAACTCAACACCAAAAAAAACCCAAATAATCTGATTTAAAAAGGGACAAAGAACCTGAATAGACATTTTTTCCAAAGAAGGCATACACATGGCCAACAGACATGTGAAAAGATGCTCAACATCAGTAATCACTGGGGCAGTGGAAATCAAAACCACAATGAGTTATCACCTCACACCTGTCAGAATGGCTAGTATCAAAAAGATAAGAAATAACAAGTGTTGGTCAGAATATGGAGGAAAGGGAAGTCCTTCTGCACTGTTGGTGGAAATGTAAATTGGAGCAACCATTGTGGAAAACAGTACGGAGGTTTCCAAAAAATAAAAAATAGAAATACCGTACATACAATCCAGTAATTCCACTACTGGGTATTTATTCAACACTAATTTGAAACACTAATTTGAAAAAATATATGCACCCCTATGTTTATTGTAGCATTATTTACAATAGCCAAAATATGGAAGCAACCTAAGCGTTCATCAATAGATGAACAGATAAAGATGTGGTGTGTACGTACACACACACACACACACACACACACACACGGAATATTATTCAGCCATAAAAAAAGATGAGATCTTCCCATTTGTGACAACATGGGTTGACCTAGAAGGTATTATGCTAAGTGAAATAAGGCAGACAGAGAAAGACAAATACCTTTCAATTTCGTACGTGGGAATTTAAGAAACAAAACAATTGAACAAACAAAAAAACAAAGCAGAAACAGATCCATAGATATAGAGAACAATCTGGTGGCTGCCTAGGGGAAGCGGGATAGGTGGATGGGCAAAATGGGTGAAGGGGGGTGGAAGGTACAGGCTTCCAGTTATGGACTAAGTCATGGGGATGAAAGGTACAGCATAGGAAAAACAGTCAATAGTATTGTAATAGCACTGTATGGTGACAGATGGCAGCTACACTTCCGGTAAGCATAGCATAATTACAGTTGTCAAGTCACTATGTTGTACATTTGTGACTAATGTAATTGTGTGTCAACTATACTTCAATTTAAAAAAAAAGTGTTTGGGGGCGCCTGGGTGGCTCAGTCGGTTAAGTGACTGCCTTCAGCTCAGGTCATGATCTTGGAGTCCCGGGATCGAGTCCTGCATCGGGCTTCCTGCTCAGCGAGGAGCCTGCTTCTCCCTCTAACCCTCCCCCTCTCATGTACTCTCTCTCTCTCTCATTCTCTCTCTCTCAAAATAAATAAATCAAACTTTAAAAAAAAAAAAGTGTTTGGGTGTCTCAGTCAGTTAAGCGTCCAACTCTTGATTTCAGCTCAGGTCTTGATCTCCAGGTCGTGAGTTCAAGCCCTGCGCTGGGCTCCACACTGGATGTGGAGCCTACTTTAAAAAAAAAAGTGTATATAGCTTTCTGGTGGTGATGACCTCCCCATGAGAACATGCTCCTCACAAAGGACTTCCCCCACTTGCCCGGAAGGGGAGAAGAGGAAGCATAAGAGGACGCACCTGGTGCCGAGCCCCAACTCCTCCTTCATGGACGTGAAGTGCCCAGGATGCTACAAAAGCACCACTGTCTTTAGCCATGCACAAATGGTAGTTTTGTGTGCTGGCTGCTCCACTGTCCTCTGCCAGCCCACAGGAGGAAAAGCAAGGCTTACAGAAGGATGCTCCTTCAGACAAGAGCGGCAATAAAAGCACCCTGAATCAAGATAAGTGGAAACTATCCCAATAAATGCATTTTGGATTAAAAAAATAAAAAGAGTAAACAAAATCAAAGAAAGAAAATAATATTTAAAATGGAAAATTTTGGGTGCCTGGGTGGCTCAGTTGGTTAAGCGGCTGCCTTCAGCTCAGGTCATGATCCTGGAGTCCTGGATCGAGTTCCGCATCGGGCTCCCTGCTCAGTAGGGGGTCTGTTTCTCCCTCTGACCCTCCCCCCTCTCATGTGCTCTCTCTCTCAAATAATAAAATCTTTTAAAAAAAATTTAAAAATAAATAAATAAATAAATAAAATGGCAAATTTTATGTTGGGTGTATGTTACCACATAAAAAATAAACTAACAAATAAATATACTCTGTTGTAGTCACAGTAATAGGATAACAACTTTTCATTAAAATTTAGTTTAAAAAAGGAAACTGAAAAGTCATAGCATATAAAATTTTAACAATTAAATGAAAACCACCTCAAATAAGATACCATTTTTCATTATTAGATTAGCAAATATTTTTAAAATAATAATGCCTTGAGTGTTATTCAACATACACAGAAAAGGATACTCATACATTGTTTTCATAGGAGTGCAAACTGATACAACCTTCCTGGAGAACAACTTATAATACGCATGAAAATAATTTTTGATCCCCTTTGAATCAGAAATTTCATCTCATTCATAGTAATTCACCCTAGGAAGCTATGTAAAGATGTGTACCGTGAATCAGATATGCTGAATGCATTACCACAACGGGGCGGGGGGGGCGGGATGACACACAAATAATCTAAAGGATTATCAATCAGTTTGAATGGACTCTATAATCTAAAATCTATTTATAATCCCTAGACTAAAAGCAAGTTGTTAATACTGGGTATCTCTAATTTTTTCGTAATAAAAATGCATTTCTTTACTCATTTAATATTAACCTTTGAAAATAAATACACAATTTAAAAATTGCTCTTGAGGGCGCCTGGGTGGCTCAGTTGGTTAAGCGACTGCCTTCGGCTCAGGTCATGATCCCAGAGTCCTGGGATCGAGTCCTACATCAGGCTCCCGGCTCAGCGGGGAGCCTGCTTCTCCCTCTGACCTTCTCCCCTCTCATGCTGTTTCTCTCTCTCTCTCTCTCTCAAATAAATAAAATCTTTAAAAAATAAATAAATAATAAATAAATAAAAATTGCTCTTGATTTCAAACAACCAGAAATTGTAGACAATACAAAGGTCTATGCAAGAAAGAACTAAACTCCAACCAAGGGACCCATACACAAAGGAAATATGTGCCCCTACTTTAAAAGATTGTCAAATGAGGGGTGCCTGGGTGGCTCAGTCTGTTAAGCAACTGCCTTTAGCTCAAGTCATGATCCCAGGGTCTTGGGAATTGAGCCCCACATTGGTCTCCCTGCTCAGCTGAGTCTGCTTCTCTCTTTCTTCCTCTGCCTCTCCCTCGGCTCATGCTCATGCCCACGCTCTCCCTCTTTGATAAATCAATCAATCAATCAATCTATCTATCTTTAAAACAATAAATAAAAGATTGCCAAATGAAACTGTATTTATAGGTTTTAAATTACATTAAGATAAAAAAATTTTTTCTTATGGTAATTACCACTTTAATCTACCAACTACTTGCAACCATGTTGGGAAGTTTTTGTACAGAGCAGGCGGACACTATTTCTCACCACCAGATGGAGCATATACAAAAAAATGACACTAATTTTAGAACTTGGGGATAAAGGAGAAACTAAGTTTTAGATAATGCTGTATCAAGTACGATACATAGAGGTTTTTTAAGGCCTTGTGAGAGGGGATCAGGGAAACAGAAAGCCACAAAACACTACCTATACTTCATCTAATTATGTTTCAGATAACAATTTTTAAAAAACTGTACTGAATCATATTGCTTATACTCATATATTCAATATATCATGCTGTTTTAAGTTGTTTACAGTATATTATAGTAGAAGGTAAACTGGATTTGGTCAGAAGTCATGATCCAGGCTTTACCAATAACTAGGTGGTAACCTTAGGTGAGACACTAAAAAAACAAAGCAAAACAATTGCAAACTAAAAGAACTGAGTACGTTCAGCATTTCCCAAAGTATGTTCAGCTGAATTCAAATGCCTTAACATGCTGATGGAAGAAATGATTCTGTGGTTAAATAAATTAGGAAAATACTTCATACTGCAGCCTCATCCTCATCCTAAAATAAATAATGCATGTTAGTATATCAGGAATATTGATGAATCCTGTAGAAAAGAAGCCTGTTTCACTCTAAAAGCATTTCCCAAATTTATGGAACCATGGAGCTCTTTTATACTCAGAACACTTATGAAACAGCTTATCCAACTGAAACAGTATTTGACAAGAAAAGACAGACATTGGGAAGTGCTGGTGGAATGATGTCTAAGTCCCACCAAAAACTTTCAGAACAATCTGCAAGAGAGTCATACTAGGTTAATGATTAAGCAATAATTTCTCCCTAGCACTCTCATATTGGGAGTATAAAGTGGCATTAGCTTTCCAAGGGGTTATCTGGCAAAATGTACCCAAATTCTAAACATGACATACTCTTTGCCCCATTACCTCACTTCTAGAATTTTACCTTAAAGGAAAGAACCAGATTAATGCATAAAGATACATTTATAAGGATATTCAATGCAGCAGTGTTCATAATGGGAAAAAGAAACAGAGTAGCCTAAATGTCTAACAATTTGCTAAATAAATTATATTAAAATAATAAAACACTGGATAGTCATTACAAGGGTCATCCATATTTACTGACAGTGAAATAGATCTATAACCCACTGACAGAACAAAAGAGCATGTAAACAAATGTGGTCCCTTACATGTAACACTTCCTATTTACATATGCCTACAATTATCTGAAAGCATACTTACTAAAAATCTTAACATTTCACACCCATCAGAATATCTATTACTTAAAAAAAAAAAAGAAAAAAGTGTTAGTGTGGATGTGAAGAAGTTGGAGCCTGTGTGCATTACTGGCAGAAATGTAAACTGCCACAGCCACAATGGAAAACAGTATGACATTTCCTCAAAAAGTTAAACACAGATATACCATTTGATCCAACAAATACCTACCTGGTGATATACACAAAAAACTTGAAAGCAGGGACTCCCAACAGTTATTTGCACACCAATGTTTGTGGCAACATATTCACAATAACCCAAAGGTGGAAACAACTAGAATGTCCATCAAATAATGAACGGATAAACAAAATGTGGTGTATACATACAATGGAATATTATTCAGCCTCAAAAAAGACATTCTCACGCAAGCCACCACACAGATGAAACTTGAAAACATTATACTACTAAGCCAAACTAAAGGACAAATGTTGTATGATGCCACTATGTGGCATCTAGAAGTATTTAGAGTAGTCAAATTCATAGACAGCAAGTACAATAGTGGTTTGCAGGGGCTGGGGAATGGGAGGAAGGAAGAGTTACTGTTCAATGAATACAGAGTGTCAGTATGGGATGATGAAAAGGTTCTGGAGATGGACGGCAGTGATGGCTGCACAGCAATGTGAATGTGTTTTAATGACACTGAACTGTACACTTGAAAATGGTTAAGATGATAAAGTTTATGTTATGTGTATTTTACCACAATTGTTAAAATAAAACAAAGTTTAAAAAAACATTAGCATTGGTTATTTTCAAGTAAAGGGATTATAGGTGATTTCAATTTTTAGTTTTTTTGTTTTTTTTTTACTGATTTCTCCACCCCCTGTGGTTTGCTAAGTCAGTGAACAATTTTTACAATTAGAAAAAACAATTTTGGGGGTGCCTGGGTGGCTCAGTCATTAAGCATCTGCCTTTGGCTCAGGTCATGATCCCAGGGTCCTGGGATGCAGCCCTGCATCGGGCTCCCTGCTAGGCGGGAAGCCTGCTTCTCCCTCTCCCTCTGCCCCTTCCCCCCTTGCTTGTGCTCACCCTCTCTCTCTAAGTAAAAATATAAAAATTAAAAAAAAAAAAAAGGAAATGAAGTACTGGTATGTACTACAACATGGACTAAACTCAGAAACATTCGGGGCACCTGGGTGGCTCAGTTGTTGAGCGTCTGCCTTTGGCTCAGGTCATGATCCCAGGGTCCTGGGATCAAGCCCTGCATCGTGCTCCCTGCTAGGCTCCCACTCCCCCTGCTTGTGTTCTCTCTCTGTGTCTCTGTCAAATCAAATCTTTAAAAAAAAAAAGAAAAGAAAAAACAATTTTGGGAGCAAAATCATTCCCTAGGGGCCATCCTGTGAGTCTAAGAGGCTTTTCCTAATTACTGTATCTTCTTACCTCTAGGCTTACAGAGCAAATTATAGCCAAGAGTAGAACTGAATGGTCTGATAGATGTTCTCCTCAATCACTCAAAAATACTTAGAGTGCCAAAGGCCAGGTACTGTGGCCAAGTACTGGGATGTATACATTATATCTGTTAATTTCACAGAAGCTTCCAAAATTACCATATGAAACATCTACTGATACCACTGATATCATCTTTATCTTAGAGATAAGGAAATTAGAGTACTTTTAATTACGCTTGAGATGTACAAGATATACTCTAAAGTTTTTTTATTTTATTTAAGATTTTTTTTTTATTAGAGAGAGAGAGAGCAAGAGAGGGAACATAAGCAGGGGGAGTGGGAGAGGGAGAAGCAGGCTTCCCGCTGAGTGGGAGCCTGATGCAGGGCTCGATCCCAGAACCCTAGGATCATGACCCGAGCCAAAGGCAGACGCTTAACGACTGAGCCCCACCCAGGTGCCCCTAAAGTTTTTTTAAAAGCAGTTGCAAAACTAAATGATTTCATTTCTGTTGTTTAAATAAAGGGGTGTGTGGGTGTACATGGTTTTATGTATACACTGGAAAAACAGGCACCAAAAATGTTAATAGTTTATCTCTGAGCAGAAGGATCAATGGGGACTAATACTTCTTTTACAATTGTTTATCTGTAATCCTTAATTTTTTATCATTGCAAATGTATTCCTTTTGTTTAAGGATTATACTGTTCTATATCAAAAAGGTATTGCTGTAATGACAAATAAATATGAAAACTAATCACATTTTATCATAAAGAAATTCATCTAACTTCTTATGGAATCAAATTATAACTTTAGATCACTACCACAAAATGATCGGTAAGAGAAAAAGTCACCATGTAAAAATTCCACTTACATTCTATCTTTTCTTTTTTTCCTTTCTTCCCTTTAGAAGAAGTAGATGAACGAGACGATGCAGCAGACTGGGTTCCTGACGAATGCTGGGAGGTAACATCCACAGAGGACAGATCGTAGGCAGACTTTCTGCTAGAATGGTCCTCCTGAATGCCCAAATTGCTACCACTGATACTGTCAAAGAACAAGCAATAGTGGTTAAAGAACAAAATAAAAAGTCTTAAAACACAGCTAAAACTATGGATATTTTAAAATACGTTTAATCACAAGGAGAATATAACTATAATTGAAGATGGCTTCCACTTTTCTTTTTTTGTTTTCTTACTACCATAAGCTTGGATTGTTCCCTATGGCTCAATTTATTATTGAGAAAAATCTAAGGGAGTTGTCTACTGAACTGAAACTAATAAAAAATGGATAATTCAGACATAAAAGAAAAAATATAATGTTGGATACTGGAAAATGTGGTCTCAATTTCCACTCAAATTCATCATTTAATGTTATAATTATTTTCCTCCTGATAATATGTTCAACCTAGAAATAAAATGCAATAAATCATCTTGATTGGTGATATTAAACGTCACAATTAAATCTTTGCAAGTTTTGATTTAAAGCCTGCTTCTCCCTCTCCCGCCCCCCCTGCTTGTTTCCTCTCTCACTGTGTCTCTCTCTGTCAAATAAATAAATAAAATCTTAAAAAAAAAAAATTAATCTTTTCTTTAGAGTTCAAAAGTTAAAACTCTACTTTGCCCACTTTAATTTTAATAATACTTATTTTCATAAGTTTAACCAGATAGAACTAATTTTCAAAAGATCACCCAATAATTTTATGTGGATTATAATTTGTAATTTGTGAAGCAAATTATATTGAATGTGAGTAATTACAGATTACTTTATATGGTAACAAAATTTAGGGAGGAAATTCTCTCTGGCAAAGTCTGATTCACTTACTGTATGACTCTGTACCAGTAAAACCTGGATGCTTCAGTTTGCTCTCTCTGAAGTAGGAACAGTAACAAAAATACTTATCACCTCAGGCTATTTTAAGAATGAGTTAATACAAGCAAAGCCCCCTCAGTCCTCTCAGTGCCTTGCACAATGTGTCCAATAAATATTAATATTGTAATACTGTTATTTTTCAAAGCCTTGCAAAAGTTTAGATGTTCTTCCAATTAGAAAAAAAAAATGTATTGATTTACTTGGGATCATGGAGTCAAGGATTCTTCTGGTCATCCTTGATTCTATCACAGAAAACCATTACTTAATCTTCTTATATTAGTATACCATGGGAGACTTTCCCAATACCATCCTCTACTAGGGACTCACAGATTGACTTAACAATGTATTTTCTGCTTATTGTGTGCCAGGCCCTATTCTAAGTACTTTATATTTCACTGAATATTCATAACACTCTGAGGCAGGTACGATTATTTTCCCCATTTTACAAAGATGGAAACTGAAGCACAGGGGTTAAGTAATATGCCTGAAGGCAAACAACTAATATCAGGAGAACCAGGATTTAAACCCAGACAGTCTGGATCCAGAGCCCATGCTCTTAATAATCTCTACGCTATGCGGACTCTACATGTATCTTTAAAACAAACTGACTCATAGTCACACCACAGTTCTCATTTGTAAATTTTTCTCACTCTTTGGATTTTATCCCATATTGTCAACATATTCTTACTTAGGTTCAACAGCTGATTTTCTTTCTGTCAAAGTCCCACTCCCTGGAGAGGAGACAAAATCATCTTCATATGAAACACTGCTTAAAGGGGTTGTAATGACATTTAAAGGACGCGATGCTGAGGTTCCTCTTTCCAACCTATCTTCAAACCCTGTCAAAAGTAAGTCGTTGAAATGTGCTTTAAAACAAAATTTAAAAAACTACAAGCAAAGCATTCCACAACATGCGGATTAACAACATGGATTTAGGAACATTTTAGTTGGTTTATTAGTGCTTCTTTTCAATCTATCTTTATATCTAACAATACATTTTTAACTTTTTATTAGGGAAATTTTCAAACATACAACAAAATAGAGAAAATAGCATAATGAAACTAAGATATCCACCAGCCCGCTTTAACAATTATCAATACATGACCAATCTAGTTTCAACTAAATTTCCTATTCTCCCCATTTCTCACTCCCCTCCCAGACTATTTTGAAGCAAATCCTGGATAACACATCATTCCAACTCAAAGTATTTCAGTATAATTATAAAATCTTAATGAAAATCTAATACGATTTAAGAAAAAAACACAATTCTCTTGCAAAAAAAAAAAAAATGAGGGTGTTGATTTAAAAGCACTTTGTTTTTGGGACACCTGGGTGGCTCAGTTGGTTAAGCAGCTGCCTTCGGCCCGGGCCATGATCCCAGGGTCCTGGGATCAAGTCCGGCATCGGGCTCCTTGCGCAGCAGGGAGCCTGCTTCTCCCTCTCTCTCCCTCTGCTTGTGCTCTGTCAAATAGATAAAATCTTAAAACAAAACAACAAAAAAAAGCACTTTGCTTTCACCAAAAAAAACTTTAAAATTACCACCTATAGGAAATAAGTGTTAACAAAAGAGATTGATGGCATGTGTATGTCTGCACAAGATCATAACAAAGTAGCTAAATATGAATTCTAGGAAAATGCACTGTGATACCAGTTAAGCATAAGATGAATAGATGAAATCAATTCACTTATCAAGTAAGTTGTTCACTATGTAGAATGGAAATAAAAAACCACAGCATATTGATAGCTGACTGAAGGCTCAGCCTCATTCTCCAACCTGGAAATTCTAAAGTTATGTTAGCATAAAATGGGTAGAATCTACTTGGAGTAGGAAGAAAAGAGAAAGGGACTGGAAGGAATTGAGTTTATCATAGAAAAGGAAAATCGTGTTGCAGGATTTCAGAGATAAGAAACTTTAGAAGTCAGTTGTTTCATGACCCAAATAAATGTAGTTACATTTCTGTCCAAAGTCTGTTTTTTTTTTTCAGCTTTATTTAAGGAATCTCTAAACTCAACGTGGGGCTCAAACTCACAACCCTGAGATCAAGAGCAAAGTCTATTTTCAAAATTAGTTTTGACAAGCACTAATAGTTTCCATATTAGAATGTTACTACAGTTGCCCCTCTCGATTCTTGACCACTATATTCCCAATGACTCACAAATCACTGTATTAATATACTGATTTTCTATCTAAACACATAACTATGGTCACAGAAAATCTAGCATACACTTGGTACATACAAATCCTGAACACCACAAATGAATTTCTCTAAATTAGACCAAAATTTCTACAACTACCAATTGTTCATGACAATAACAACCAAAATATGAAATTTTAATGATGAAATTGCACTACTTTAGTTGAAGCTTACAGATAATTTAGATTAATTTAGGTAAGTCTCTATTATCCTCATAAATGAACAAATGAAAATTTGTACTTAAGTATTACCTTCTACAGAATTATTAAATGATTTACCTTAAGATAACATACAAATAGCACAAGGCTTACTTATTTTTCTCACCTTTTCCATACAACTGATACGACTTTGTAAAAATATTAATGACACTATGTGGACTTCCCTTTGCCAATTCTTCCCATGGTCCTTTGCTTTGTGTACCACCTATGTGCCCAAAAAGTGGCAAGAATTTTTCAGCTTCCTTCTGAAACTCTTTGATGGGTTCATAACCATTTCTTTCTCCAGCACAAAATTCCTTTTCCTTTAAGATTTCTGCTACCTTCAACGTGGGCTGTCCATCTTGGCCTCCCTCTTCTTCAGAAAGACTCCCCTCACTAAGAAGAGGCCCTTCGCTGACTGAATCTGTGCTGGAACCAAAAGACAATTTGGCTTTGTCTTGAGAAGCTTGCATATCAGAGCTGGAAGAGTCAGTCCGCCTCTTACACAACTGTGCCAGGAGCCCCTCTGGTTTGGGACCAGGGGATCTCATTCTGAACCTTGATATGGCACTATGAGGTCTTATCATTTCAGGAAGCTTTTTAAATTCACTGAGGTTGCCTACACCAGGAAGATCTTCATCAAAAGTTGCATGAGCTACACAGGTTCCCATCATCTTTTGAATTCGGGCAGAGAAAACATCTTCAGTATCCTCTTTCACAGGCGGACTTACAGCCTTGGTCCATGGTCCCTCTTCTTGGAGTGTTTGCTGTACATCATACTCGGCGTTCCAGACTGACCCATAGTTTATGTTAGCCCCAGCTAATTTCTTGGCTTCACTTTCAATCCTGCTGGACAAAGAAGCAGCTGTTGCTTTCAAGGCTTCAATACGATCCAGTTTACTCTTATATTGGCTGGCACTAGGTTTTAACAAGGCATCTGGATGAGCAGCTGGTGAGGTCAGATATGGTTGAGGTGTATAAGTTAGTGGCCCTGAGGCCACAGTATGGTTCTTTCTGGTTGGTAAGACAGATTCAAAATCCTTATGCAAAATTCCTACATGCTCTAGACTCAAGAGATGGGAGAGTAAATTTCCAGCTGTTCCAACAAGAGGCTGTGGTTGAGAATTCTGGACTCGTGGGCTCAATCTGTCAGGCTGCATCCATGTAGGTTCCATCAAGTCCCTTCTGGAAATGAGAGTCATAGTATGTTGGTTAACACAGTAACTCATGACTACGCCACCAGTTTTTTTAACCTTTTTTTTTCTCAGAGTAATGTACACTCACCACCGGAAAAAAAAGGACAGGCAAAGAGGATAAAAAAAGATAAAGATCACTCATAGCTAAACAATGAGAAAGCGGCACTACTACTATTTCATTTAGAATTATAACTTTCCAAAACATTTTTCTATGTGTGTGATGTGTTTTGGCATTTTTATTTTCATAAAAATGGAATGTTATCATGCAAATTGCTTTCTTCAACTAATACATATTTTAAACTATTAATTAAAGGGAAGGCTTCATAACCTTTAAAACTCGGTAAACAAAATTCTTTACAACATTGGCTCTACCCGTTCCTCTAAAAATAATGTTATACAGGGGAGCCTGGTGGATCAGTCAGTTAAGCATCTGCCTTTGGCTCAGATCATGATCCCAGGGTCCTGAGTTCAAGATCCACATCGGCGGGCTCCCTGCTCAGCAGCGAGCCTGCTTCTCCCTCCTTCTCTCTGCCCCTCCCCCTGCTTGTGCTTTCTTGCTCGTATTCGCTCTCTCAAATAAAAATCTTTAAAAAAAAATTAAAATTAAAAAAAATAAATAATGTTATATAAAGAGAAATGCATAAGATTGCTAAATACTAACATTGGCATGGTAGTCATTATTCTAATCAACAAATATTTAATGTTTATGTTTAACATTGTACATACTGAAGAAATAAGATTACAATCTCAATTTTAAAAAGTTAGTGAACATCAATGAGTATCATTGCAAAACTATGAATACCAATTATAAATATACAATACAGAGTAGGGTGTCCCTAAAGTCTAAAAACAGAATAAAGATGTCCCAGATGACATTATATAAATAACATGTTTCCAGACCATGGACACCCTGTATATTAAGGGATATTATAAAAACATGAAAGGTCAATGTTAACTATTAAGTAGATGCTTATAAAAAAACATCATGAGATTTTTGTCCTTGGTCTTGTCCATTATTTTTGGATGATGACATAAAGATATGCTTATCAAATTTGCAAATGACAGAAGGCTAGGAGGCATGGCTAACCCAAAAAATTATCAAATTATGATTCAAAGTGATTTGGACAGGCTACAACCTTGACCAAACTAGTACAGATAAATGTAAAGTCTTACCAATTAAATTCAAAAGAATCATTTGGAGGAAGGTAACCAGAGTGATAAGAGAATTAGAAAGCATGTCATGCAAGGTTTGGTTGGAAGTTATATTGTACAGTCTTGTGTACTGAAGGGCTGCTATGAAAACGGAATGAAGGAAGACTGGTGCGTAGATTCTATGCCACAAAATATAGAGTGTCAGGTTATCAGGGCTCAAACTAAGCTGGTAGTAATGGGAATACAAAGGAAGTTATAAATATAAAAGATATTGCTGAGTAAAAATCCGAGATCTTTAAATTCAAGTATTTAAAATGCCAATTATGTGCCAGGCACCTGTTGATGCTAGAGGACCAGGGGAGACAAAAATTCAGTTAATCCAGTTAAGACTTAATCCTTACTCTTTAGTTCCTCAAGATCTAGCAGGGATGAGAGACTAATAAATAGTTAAAGTACAATGTCATAAATACTAATATAAAGACATATAAAGTTCAATAGAGTGCAGATAGAAAATAAACTCTGCTAGCCAAGGAAAGTGGCTTTTGAGCTAGATCTTCAAGGTCTTCAAGGTCAGATATGTAATTTGGAGCTTCCCAGGTAGCTAATGAAGAATATGGGACATGAAGGGCAGGGAAAAGAAATGCCATGCATCCAAGCATAAAGTAACTGAGATATGTTGAAACTACTAACAGAAATGGGGAACCCAAGTAATGGGTAGAGGGAAAAGTGGAGGCTATAGATTCTATATCACAAGTTGAAGAAATCTGATATTAAAAAGAAAAGGAAAGGAACACATGCAAGGTAATAATAATAGATCTGTTTTACATTTGGTTTGTTTTTAACACTGTATAACTTATTTAGAATTAGAAGGAAATTCAGGGAAAGGTAAAACAGAAGACAGGAAGCCGAAATGGTTCAAGTATTTAAAACCATATCATCTCAAAATCCCCTCAAATTCCATACACAGTTTACTTTTACTTCATTGCAAATAATATATGACAGCAAGAAAAATATTTTGCTTAAGAAAACTTAAGGTAACATAGTCCTTGATCAGCAATCTAGCCCTTGTTCCTAGCCCCTGTTCATATGTTCACATGCATATCCAAATACAGCTTTTGAAAGGTACAATGGATAAATTGGAATGAGTCATATGAAGAAAGTTTGATTAGTAATAGATACAAACATGCCTTTTGAAAATTATTCACCACAAATACTTTAAAATATTAATTTCACTGTTATTCATTCATCAACACAGTTTTTTACTGTGTGTTTAGTCCAGAGAAAGCAAGAGTGCTTCCAACTGCAGGATCCCTGGGAGGACTGGCATTTACATTGGATATGAAAGGACAGGTAAAAGTTGAACAGCAGAAGAGGGGTATTTGTGCATATGTATAGTTGTACACCATGCTTAAGTACCCATCAGAAGATATGAACCAATTTCTAAATAAACAACTTGCTCACGTAGAAGGTCAGTCAACTACACATAGACCACTATACTAAATTTCATCGAAAAAAAGCTTAATCATCTTTCATTCTCTCCTTTTTACCTTGCAAGAGGTTGTGGAGGTTCTGACAGAGACATGTCACTACTAGAAGATGCACTTAGGGGACGTTCCTGTACTTTGTTTTCTTTGTCAGATTCTCCAGAAGGCTGATACCCTGGTCTGGTCTAGGAGAAAAGGACATCAAATTTATGTGACTCCTATCACAAAGATATACTCAGGGAGTACATAAGACAAATACTAAGTCACTTCAACTTTACAAAGATCATGAAATGTAGGGGCTTTTTCTCTTAAATAAAACTGATTCAAATTTGGTTGGCTTAACAGCCACTACAATTAAGAGCAAAATTATATCTGAAATCCAAGAAAGGCACCTATCACTAACTGCATAATTTGAAGTAAGTAATACTCTTTCTAAACCTCAGTTTTCTCACCTGGAAATACTAGTCGCATTTACCTTCTCAGGGTTATGAGGATTTACTGAAGCTTTAGCCTTATAAAGCCTTTAGAACAGTCTGTGGTACACGGTACATACTCAACATTATTCTTAAAAACAAAAGCAATACTCAAAAAATTGTCACATACAGTAGGCTATTCTCTAATTTCAGCACAGATCACAAAAATAAGCTTTTATTGACATAATCTAACTTTTTGCTCAGTAATACAATGAAAACTAGGCAAGGATGTAACTAATAGCAGTGATGAGAGGAATAGAGATCAGCAACAATCACTCTAGGAAATGCTAACCGAGTACTAGTTTTCAATCATGTTTATCAAATTACTCTCCACATACAATAAATTTCATGAAAAGGTCAACATTACTACAAATATTATCTGAGCATATGCCTGAATATTAGGAATGATGGCAACAAAATGGCAAATAAGCTTTTTCTAATCATGAATGACTTCCTTTTGCATTTCTGGCACTACTATTACCTGTGTTTCCTGTGTAACATGTTGATGAGGTGGCTCTTCGAGCAAGGTCTTTTCTAGTAGCAGTTTGGAATAAGTATCCTGCAGTCGCCTAGTTACTGATGGCTCAGAAGGAGGCACATTTTTTACTTTAGTAAAGGCTTCTTTCTGTTTCCGATAGAGCTCCTGTAATCGTTTGTTCTTCTGCTCAGTGGCCTCCTTTTGGGCCTTCTTCTCTTCATTTTGCTTCCTCTTCCTTTCCTCCTGCTGTCTAACAATGTACTGGCGTACCTCATCTGTGTCATAGTGGCGCTTTTTGGAAATAACAGGGGGATCTTCATTAGCTGTTATTTTGTCAGGTTTTCTTTTTACTGGGCTGTGACTCCTAGGAGCCTGTACTGGTGCTGATGACTTCTGATTCTGTAACTCTCCTGTCTCTTGCCTTGCAGCCTGAACTGTAGAATCCAGCTGTAGGTCATCAAGAATTCCACGAATTTCAAGAGGTAAAAAGTCCTTATTCAAGGCAGTATTTTCCTCCTGTTTATTATCTGGAAGAGATGGAGCTAATTTCTTTGTATTATTTTCAGACCGAGGTCTACTTCTCGAACGTTCTGAGTTTCGTGGAAGATGTCTATGTGAAACATCCAATCTAGGATCAGATTCTGCTCTTCCAATATGACCCCCTGCAAAGTATGAACTGTTAGTGATGTATTAAAATCCTATATTCATTCCTAAGATTTACTGTAGTGAGGAAAAAATTAGAGAATTTCACTTTATCTTAAACTCAAATTTAAATATCCTATGCAATTGTTTAAAGAATATTATAGAAGGAAAGAAAAAATTTTTAGAAGAGAATAATTTCAATCTTTAAAAATAACTATACTTACTTGGCATTTAAAAAATGCATTTTTAATATTTCTGAAGACAGATCTTATTGTTAACGCGAATATTTAACTATTAACAGAGAGTTACTATTTCTCTCCCATGCACATATTTAATGATACTATCTCTCTCCATCCCTAAACCCCTAAAACAGGTGTTTAAAAACAACAATGTTAAACTGCCACAATTCTCCAAAGAGTAATAGAAAAGAAATTAAATATATAGAAAAACAATCATTTTATAATCTAAATGTTTGTTGATGTGGGTTAATTTTAAACTGAGAATGCATGTTAGTTTATTTACAAGCTAGAGGAGAGTGAAGAGGAGTAAATGCAAAGTATATATTGACTTCTATATATACCTAATTATAGTTTTAATTGATTTCTTACTGAATCCACTCTAGAAGCTCAAATTAATTGAAGCAAATTTTGTTACTGAAAAGGAAAGCTGGCCTGTAGGTATTTGCATTTCATTTCCCAAAATTAGTGTTAATGAGAAAAGTAACTAGTTATTTCAAAGAGCATTTAAGACACTTCAAAAAGAGAAAAGCAATGCACTTGAGGGTCAAACCGAAGAGTCGTAGATCCTAGATCAAATTTTGCCACCCACTTAATGTATATACCCTTGAGAAAAATCACTTCTCTCTTGGGGCCTGTTTCCTAATCTGTCAAATAAAAAACCCAATATTGTGAAAGTGTGCCTGTGTTTGTGCATACACGGATAAGACAGATTGGACTTAATTCCCTTAAGGTCTCTAAAAGTCTAATAAACTCTAATTAAATGATGCTTTTTTATTCACATGGCAGCTAAATGTAATTAATATAATAAAAGTCATCATAATGTCTATATATAGAAATTAACCATAGATAAGCCCAACAGAACACTTCTTCTTTTATGAGCCATATTCACAATTATAAACCAAATTCTTAAAGCATTCTCAAAAGAGTACTTTCATCTCCTCTAAGTACTTACACAAGCAATTTTTAATTGCTCTTCTCAACAATTTTAATTACTGAAACAACTTAATAATTTAATTACTCACCAGATTTAGTAGTTCTTTCTCTTCCACTTCTGTCATTTGATGCTGTTCTTCGCTCTTTTTGCTCCACTCTGGGTGCAGGCCCCAGGATCTTCTTTACTAATTTTTGTCCATCTCGCCAAGAGGATGTACTTATCAGACGACTGCTACCTAAAAAATATATACATACATATTGGGTTGAATTTAAAACTTCAAATTTATCTCTAACAGGTGTATCTAGTCAACCATACAGGTTTTGTAATTAATCTTATGCTTATCTTATGTCAAAGTCAAAAGGTTTACAATCTAATTTTTAACACAATGTCCCAAAAATCAAATAGCAGTTTGTTTAAATTTTGATTTATCCATACACCTCAAATAAGTGTAAAATGCTTTCTTTGCAAGTTAAGTACCAAATGTTAACGATTCCCAAAACCTCAACCTCAAGCAGAACACTGAATCCAACAGTTTGGGCACAGAACAAAAATATGTCTTAATTATAGTAAGGGTTTGGTTTACCAACAGTACTTGGCACATAGTAAAATGTATGTTTGCTGAATGAACAAATGACTTAAACTAAGCATAGGGAAAAAAATCTGAAGAAACATGTAACAGTTAACAGTGATTACCTTTGAAGGGGATAGTATTATAGGGAATTTCACGTTATATTTATAGATACATATCAGAAGTACATATTACCTTTTTATGAATAAAACAATGATACTCCAATAGCAAGTATCATCGACATTTTAAATTGCCCTCATTATAAAAGTTCATAAAAATAAAAGTATGGTCCAATAAATATAGCTGTTGACTAAGAGAGAAACTTTTCATTTACTACTTTCAGATTGTAAAAAAATTAAAATTAGACCATCATACTCCAACATAGGTGGAGTACTACTATGTGGCTATTTTAAATTATAATTTCCATAAGGAATTAGAGAAATGCTTTTGTGGTAAGATGCTAAGAGAAAAAGATAAAATGTTATGAATACAAAGATTATAATCATCTACTATTATGATTTTAAAACTACTTTAAGGAAATAACAAAATACTAGTACTTCAAGTGAAGACAGTGGTTTTCTCTGTTTTCTTCTATTTTTCAAGCTTTCTGTGATGCTATTTTATTGTATTCAAATTATTGTATCTAGAGTTTTTTTTTTTTTTTTAGATTTTAAAAAGGCTTCAGGGGCGCCTGGGTGGCTCAGTTGGTTAAGCGACTGCCTTCAGCTCAGGTCATGATCCTGGAGTCCCTGGATCGAGTCCCGCATCGGGCTCCCTGCTCAGCAGGGAGTCTGCTTCTCTCTCTGACTCTCCTCCCTCTCATGCTGTCTCTCATTCTCTCTCTCTCAAATAAATAAATAAAATCTTAAAAAAAAAAAAATGGCTTCAGTTTGGGTGCCTGGGTGGCTCAGTCTGTTAAGCATCTGCCTTCGACTTAGGTCATGATCCCAGGGTCCTGAGATCGAGTCCCGCATCGGGCTCCCTGCTCAGCAGGGAGTCTGCTTCTCCCTCTCCCTCTCCCCCTCCTCCCTGCTTGTGTGCTCTCTCTCTCTCTCAAATAAATAAAATCTTTTTTAAAAAAGATAAAAACTCTTCAATTTAAAAGTTTAAGTGAAAGTACAGTTTTAATGAAAACATCCAGTACAAAGAAACAAAATTATAAATCTGTGTGTGCTATTTATGTTTTTGCACCTTGTTATTAACCTTAAATGATCTAAAATATTTAAACGGCTTTAAGTCTATTGCTGAATCTATTTATAAGAAACTTTATGTTCTTAAGCAAAATGAGAGAAGAGGCTTCTCTTCGATTTCAGCTTAATTTTCCAAATCAAAAGCAAGCAACCGTGAATATACTGGGTAGTTATTTATAAACGCTGGCTTCTGAATATGCTGTGTGGTTATTTCTAAATTCTGGCTTTCTGGAATAGTCTCATGCAGTCATTGGTAAAAAAGAGGACTTTCAGTACAGATAAACTATTAATACAGCTTTAGCATATTTAATGACTGTCCCTTGGTCACTGCACAGTGCATACATGGGAATCAGCCTAACACAAAACTGGATAAATACAATCCAAGATCAGTATTTACAAGTTATAGTGGTCTCAATGCTTCATTTCAAACTATGCCCCTGGCAAGAATATCAGATAATACCACATGAAAATAACACTTTGTCATATTTTTTCATGTAAAAATTAGTTTATATTCCAGTAATTCATGTTCTTATAAAATCTTATTTTTTGGGGTGCCTGGGTGGCTCAGTCAGTTAAGCATCTGCCTTTGGTTCAGGTCATGATCCCAGGGTCCTGGGATCGAGCCCCACGTTGGGCTCCCTGCTCAGCGAGGAGTCTGCTTTTCTCTCTCCTTGCTTGGCCCCTCCCCCCAGCTTGTGCTCTCTCCCTCTCTCTCAAATAAATAAATAAAATCTTTTTTTAAAAATTTTATTTTTCATTCGTATATAGCCAGGTCATTCTGACATCTAGAGTTAACAATGAACGTCACAAAATATGTTATTTGACATTCTATAGATTAGTCTGTGATCAGAAAAACAAGTACCTGGTTAAAAACCAGCGCCCCATCACTCCTGCTCCATGTTCCCATTAGACCTTGCAAAGTCCCTACAATACATTCATCCCATTTTATTGTAACTAGGTATCTACTGTTTTCCTGACAAGATCAGAAGTTCCAAGAAGGCAGGGGCCATGTGTATCCTGCTTACCACTGTATTGCCTAAGCTTAGTAGAGCACAGTGCCTCACATATAACAAGTGCTCACAAATATCTGCATAATGAATGAATGTAAGAATGACTGATTCTGAATGTCTCCAAAATGAAAGTGACAAATTCCAAACTTCCTCCACTCTCTCAGCCCAAATTACCCACTAACAAGAATAGGACAGCTAAATAACCATTCTCAGGATAGCCAGAAATAATTATTATTATTAATGGAATCATACCTAACATTTGAGTGCTTACCATGTGTCAAATACTGAGTTCCTTTAGGTATTAACTATTTTAATTTTCACAACAACCCTGTGAGAGAAGTATTACTGCTTTCCCATTTTACATATGGGGAAACCAAGGGACACTAAAATTAACTTACTCACTAAAGGAACAAAGCTAGACATGACAGGACTAGGCTATAAATCCACACAACCTGAACTGGGCCTGAAGTGTTAATCACTACAAAACTAGGGAATTCTTTTTCCCTGTCCTGATCTATTTAGAGTCTGGCCTGACCACTATTGGTATGGGCTGCCATGCTTTTCTTATGCAACATTCATTCTCTTGTGAGAGTAAGTGAAGGGACTTAGTGACAGTTATAAGCAATCCCTTTATATATATAAAGTTTACTACATAAAAATCATTATCTTTAATCTAGTTAATTTCTATTAAAAATAATGATATAAAAATGGGGGGAGAGATGTAGAGATGTGTTCAGTACTATGGTGAACATAAGGTTTCATGGGTATAACAGATGTGAGAAGTTATCTAACATTCTATGTACATCTTATTCTGTCAGTTATACCTCAATAAAACACATATATAAAATAAAGATACATAAAATGTACTGAATTCTTCTATGTGCCATTTGGTTAACAAACATTTATTTCCATATAGAATGCCATTTCAGTATTATGTAATTTTAGGTTGGACATGATATTGAGAAAACTAACCTGTTTTGCCTTCTGGACTTGGTAACTGTGTTACCTTTTGGACTTTTCGTACTGGCTTGACCACTTTCTTCTCTTTACTTTTTTCAGCAGGTTTCTCTTTCATAGAGATATCATCTGAAAAGCAGAAACACTTATAGTAAATATTATAATGATTCCTACCCACCCACTCATCCTCTCCCCAGTATGAAAAATCACTGTAAAGTATATGATTCAGGTAGGGAGGAAAAAACCTTTGCTGAGGCTATTTCTGTGACCCATAAGCTACCAATGCCAACTCCTCATATGGAACAGTCTAAAGATTATCACTACTCCCCCCACTGTTAGGTTCTAATTCTTTATTTTCTGTCTTTCATTTTTGTTTTGTTTTGTTTTGTTTTCAGAAAACCCTCAAGAAATTTACCCCACTTTCGCAAACTAGAAGAAGCTATAAAAGTAATGCTTTCCAAGCCAGGGTCATATCATTTATAGAATCTCACAGGTGAGCACTTTCACAGATTCTTATTTCACTTAAAAATTCCTATGTAACTGAGATATTCATGAACTTCTAGAATAAAACTTTATAAAATACTCAGTATAATATTCCCAAATAATGTCAAGGTATTTCACATATAAATTACTTGTCACTAATTTTTTAAATTCCAGTCTAGGGGAATAGACTAGCTATACATAAAAACTTAAAAATCAACCTCAGTTACAGATCTGAAGAAGTGTAAACTTAAAATACATATAGAGCTCTGCATTCTGGGCAAAGTGGAAGTGTGAGTCAAAGGTCCTAAAGCAGGAGCATACCTGAGAAACACCAAGCTGGCTGGTGTGAGTGAAATGAACAAAGAGAAAAGTAGAAAGAACTAGAGTCCGAGACATAACTGAGGACCAGATCGTGTTGGGCTTTATAAGTCACTGCAAGAACTTCAGGTTTCACCTAAGAATGAGATTGAGATGTTTTTGGAAGTTTGGGGCAAGGGAGTGATATGATCTAAATTAAATTTTAACAAGCTTACTCTAGCAGCTGTGATGAGAAAAGATGAATTAGAAGAAAGAGAAGCAGAAGACCAGTGAGAAGGCTACTGAAATAATCATGCAAGAGACTCATGGTGGCTTAGACCTAGGGAGCAGTGACAGAGATGGGGAAAGTGGTGATATTTTTAGACATATTTTGGACAATATGAAATATAAGGTCTGAGAAAAATACGGGAATCAAGGAAAACTCAGGATTTGGGGCCTATACCCCTGAAATAAATAATACATATACATTAATATATTATTATTATTACATAATATTATATAATAATACATTATATGTTAACTAATTGAATTTAAATTAAAAAAAAAAGATGTGGGGCCTGAACAAGTAGAAAGATAGGATGGAGGGACTATCAGAGGAGTAGGTTTAAGGGATATATCATGACCTCATTTAGTTAGCTCTATTTTGGATATATTAAGTTTGAGACACCCATTATACATCCAAAGGGAGATGTGGAGTCAGTAGCTGGATATGACTCTAAGTTCAGAGAAGTCTAGGCTAGAGAAATGTATTTGGGAATCATCAGCAACAGAAAATATTTAAATCCCTGAGACTAGATGAGTTTGCCTAGTGTGTATGTAAATAAGTAGTAGTAGTAGTAGTAGCAGTAGAAGGAGAAGTAGAAGTAGAAGAAAAAGAAAAGAAAGAGAGAGAGGAAGAGAAAAGAAAAGAGGGAAAAAAAAAAGGATGGATCCAAGTACTGAGACCAGGGCATGGCTCTGTTTAGATATCAGGGAGCCAATTAGGGAAAAAAACAAACAAACAAACAACAACTGAAAAGCAGCACCTAGACTCAGAAGGAAAACCAAACATTTAAGGTATCCTAGATGTCAAGTAAAAAGTTTCAAGAAAGAAGTGACTGATTATGTCTAATGTTGCAGAGAGATCAAGATGACAACCAAGAATAAAACGCTGGATTTAGCAATGCAGAAGTCACTGATGACCCTAAAATTAGCAGTCCACAGAGAAGCTGGAGCAAAAACCAAATAGAAAGGATTCAAGAGTGAAAGGGAGGAAAAAACCTGGAGACGATGAGTATAAGATAAATAAGAGAGAAACAAGGCAATAACTGAAGAGAGCAGGGCCAAAAGAGGGGTTCTTTTATGATGGCTAACAGCACGTCATCAAACAGTGTGTTGATGGGCATGCCCTCGCAGAGAAGGAAAACTTGATGACGCAAAAGAAAGGAAATAAGGACAAAGTAATGTCCTTAAATACACAAGAGTAAATGGAATCTAAAACACAAGTAGATGGGTCAGTCCTAGCCAAAAGAACAGAGTTCAACCACCATGAGAAAGAAGGCAGGATTTTTTTTTTTTTTTAAACAGGTTCCACACCCAGCATGGAGCCCAAAGCAGGGCTCAAACTTATGACTCTGAGATTATGACCTGAGCCGAGATCAAGAGTTGGACGCTTAACTGACTGAGCCACCCAGGCGCCCCGAGAAGGCAGTCTTAATAGACCTCTTGAAGAATTCTTTGGTGTACATCATTCTACTAGTCTGTAAAGATACTGACCTATGAAGGAATACTGTTAATTATCCCTGTCTTACAGATGAGAAAACCAAGGAAGAGGAGTCATGTAACACTGGTAGTACACATAGGTAATAAGAGGCGGAGCTCGTTTTCCAAAATCTTTGCTCTTAACTATTATATTATACTCCCTTTTCACCTGAGGAAAAAAATTCTAAATACAGTGTTCCAATAATAATAGCAGGAAAACTGGACACTTAATACCACAAAATTTACTAGTAAAATCTCTATTGGGGCTTAGTAGTCTCGGGCTTTAGAGTCAGACAGGGTTGGCTTTGAATCTTGGCTTCAATTCTAAACTACCCTATACAACCTTGGGAAAATTACTCCGTGAGCCTCCATTTCCACAACTATAAAAAAATACAAAAGTCTAAGAATGCAGCACCTTGCCCCCAATCACAGCAAGTGTTCAATAACTAGTAACATTATATGATCTTCCTATTTCCCTCTTCTAATCTTTCATAAGTCCCTCCTATTTCCAATTCTGTAAATGTATTCCTTTCCTTTGATGTTTTTCTTTCTGCATCTTGCCCGCATGTTTGTATCATTTTATCTGCTGCCTGCCAAATTACTGACCATCTCAAAGATCTCAGAGGTCTAGTAGAAATAAACTTCAACTAGACTCAGCTATGTTTCTTTCAAATCAGACAGGCCTGACTTTGAAAGTCCCTCAGGTTAAAAATAGCCTAGTTTCTGTATCATCAGACATGTATACTAATTTTAATCCTGGAGGAGAGCCTAGAGGCTAAGAGAGCCTTACGACTGAAACCACAACAACTTAAGTATACCATGCAGTTAAAAAAGGGAAATATCTTTAGTTTGGTGACAATTTTATGTTTAAATATGATGTTAGATAGCATACATGATAAAATACGCAAAATCTAAGAAAGGTCTACTCTCACCTGCAAAGTGAAGTGCTAAGTCTCGATACAATTCTCTACTCATGTTTTGAAATTCAGCCTCCTGCCACACTTTCCCATCAGGTGTTCGAATCTTGGTCTCTGAAGGATTGAAGCCTAATTTATACCAACAATACAAAACATTCTTATCAAAGTTGCTTTATAAATTCTGCTATACTTTAAGTGAAATATAATTAACATACTATAAAATTCACTCTTTTAAAGTATATAGTTCAATGGTTTTTAGTATATTCACAAAGTTATGGACCTATCCCCACTATCTAATTTCCTGTACCCATTAGTAGCCACTTCTCCATCACTCTCTCTAGTCACTACCTGGCAACCACTAATCTACCTTCCATCTTCCTGGATTCACCTATTCTGGACATGTCATACAAATAGAATCATACAATATGTGGCTTTTTGTGTCTGCCTTCTTTCACTTAACATAATGTTTTCAATGACTGTGTAACATGTATCAAAGCTTCATTTCTTTTTATTACTGAATGACATTGCATTGTATGAATATACCAACACTGTTTATCCACTTATCAGCTGATGGACCTTTGAACTGTTTCTACTTTTTGGCTAGTATTAACAACATTCATGTAACAAGTTTTCCGGTGGACATATGTTTTCAATTCTCTTGGATATTATACCTTGGAGTAGAATTGCTGGGTCATATGGTAACTTCATGTTTAACTTTTTGAGGACTGTCAAACCATTTTCTAAAGGAGCTGCACCATTTGACATTCTCATCAGCAATGTACGAAGGTTCCAATTTCTCCACATCCTTGTTATTGTCTGTTTTTATAAGAGGATCCTAGTGGTTGTGAATGGTATCTCACTGTGGTTTTGATTTGGGTTTCCCTAATAACAAATGGTGTTGAGCAGCTTTATAAGCTTTTTAAAGAAGGATGCATAATTAGCTACCACATAATGTACTGGTAAATACTGTTCGGAAAAAGTAAGCTTCACTGAGATGAAGCAATATACATTTGTTCAAAAAGACTAGAAATGGAGAAGCACTAAATTAAATAAGTGCATATCATTATAAATTATGGATTTCGGACACAGAACTACTCTTCTCAGGACTAAGAAAGAGACAACACTAATTCTTCTTTCTTTGGAGAGAGGCATTAATTGCTACTATCTGATTTTTGCCTATGGCTGAACAAACAGACAAGCTGCTATCTACACAAGCAAAATGCACCCAAAGTGTGGGAAACAGGTCTTGAAAACATATTTCTTCAATTTCTCAACAAACATTACACGTGTGCTATTTCCTAGGGATTAATATTCTGATTTCCTATTATGAATTGATCTCTACTTTTTAAGAAATACACTAAACTTGGAATGTTATTTTACAAAATAATAAAATAATGAGTATGGATGATAACCAGAGTAGTATAATATAAATATTTATATTTTCAGATGGGTTCAACTTACCGAAGAATTGGCAGCCAATAAATATTTGTAAAATTAAATCAATGTAAAGAATAGACTGGAGTCAGAAATTGGCAAAAGCACTCTAGAAGTGTTAAATAAAATGTACTAAATTGATGTCTAATAGAAATTAATCTATTCAGCTCTTGGGCACAATAGCATAAGCTTAATTTCACCTGACATTTGTGGCAAGGGGCACGCGATCATGCCTATACGAGGAAAACTTTTATAAATGTAGTGTCTAGTTTGTTGCAAACTATGGTCTGTAATAAGAAAGTATGGCAATCCCATGCCAATCTCTCTCTCTCAACTTTTCATCACCATCACCCCCAACTCATGTCTCCACATTTAACTCTCATTTTTATCCCCTCTCCTCTCAAGGAAACATTTCTCTCTACCAGAGCCTTTCTTTATATTTGCATCTTTACTTAATAAATTAACTTGAAGAAGCTTTCAATACCTACAAAAGTTTCTTTTTCTGTCCCCCAATTTTAGAGTAGCCCCCCCCTTTACACTTTCCACAGTTTCCGTTACCTCCCGTCAAGCAGGGTGCGGGATCAGGTGATCCTCGCGTTGTCCGAAGGCCAAGAGCAGGAGCCTAATGCTACAGCAGTGCCCGTGTCCCCCCTCCATCTCCTCACACAGGCCCGCATCACCTCACAGCATCACAACAAGGTGAGGACGGCACAGAACCTTTATTACAGAGCATTGTTATAATTGTTTATTATTAGTCATTGTTGTTAATATATTACTGTATCTAATATATAAATTGAACTTTATCATAAGCATATATGTATAGGAAAAAAGGAGTATTTATAGGGTTCAGTACTGTCCAGTTTCAGGCATCCACTGGGGGTCCTGGAATGTATCCCCCAAGGATAGAGGGGACTATTATATTTCCACTCTTTGTCCCCTTTTTTTCTTACTAGCTGAATTTATTAAATAGAATAAAAAATTTATGGTGCATTTATGTTCAAGACACTGTACTAGGCTCTGAAATAAAATAAGGATGACCAATATAAGGTCGTAAACTTCATGGGCATTTACACTAGGGAGAAAAATGTATGCAAACAACTAAGTATAAAACAAAAATCACATAAACACTGTTTGTGTTCACACTTCAAATTTTAAAGCAGAATCATAGAACACTTCCTATGTCTTTAAAGAAAGCAAAAACATACATGAAAAACCAAGGTTTAGAATAGGCTTAGTATACTAACAAAGTTATAAAAAAAAAGAAAGAAAATAAACACACACAGTTTGTGTATGCAAAAATTATCTCCAGAAGGATATATAAATTGTTAACACAAGTAATCTCCAGAAAGGGAACAGGTAGTTGGAGCACAAGAGCTTTTCAAGGTACACCCTTTTCATCTTTTGAATTGTGAACCAAGTACATTTATTAAGTATTTGAACAAATGAAATTAAAATGTCACTTTACAGCATATTAAGATCCTTTTCATTTACATTGCCAAAAAGTTGACAAAAAATAGTTTTTCACTGTTGGAAAAAATAAATCCATTGCTCAGGACACTGGAAACCATATTGTTATGATTTCTCAAATGTATGCTATATTTCATAAATTAGCCCCCCAAAAGCTCTATTTGTAAAATATTTTAATACAAAAACTAACAGGTTAAAAAATTAATAAGCCACCATGGTTGACAGGAGGTAACGGAAACTGCGGAAAGTGTAAAGGGGGGACTACTCTAAAATTGGGGGACAGAAAAAGAAACTGTTGTAGATATGGAAAGCTTCTTCAAGTTAATTTATAAGTAAAGATGCAAATATAAAGAAAGGCTCTGATAGAGATAAATGTTTCCTTGAAAGGAGAATATATGGGAAATCCAGCCACCAACTCAAAGGAAGTTAAGATTTTAAGATTTTCACTCCGGTTCTTAGGGTTGTGTTTTGTTCTATTTTTAATTTTTAGATTTTTGTAAATTATTAAATAAAATATGGATTTAAGTTGACCATCTTAAGTTTGCCTTAGTGGAATAACTTTTGGAATTTCAGAACTTTGATTTCTAGAATAAACACATCTTAAATGTACCATCTTCATTTAATGGATCTGACATTAGTATAGCAAAAGTTCTAGATAATCACTATCTCAGAACCAACAAGAACATTTTGACCCCACCATTTGCTATTTGCTCTGTTAACAGTGTGGACAATTACTACATGGTACACAAATGACTAGAAGGACATGAAATAATTCAATTAATAATACATTAGAATAATCCTGGATAACAGAGCAAGTTTTCAGTATTCTAAAGGTAACTGCTCACAATTTTATCACAAGTTAGCAAGAATAAAATGCAAATCATCCATCTCTTACCTAATTTACAATGAATATCACTAGCAAAACATGATAAGCAACACAAACTAAAACTGATAATTCCTCTAACTGTATACATAAAATTTGTTCTGGAGAAAAAGACTAAAACACCTTAGGACTACAAAGAACTGCAAAGCTGGTCAGAGAAAAGCTAGACTGGGTAGAAAAATACAAAACAAAATTATAGCAAAAACTGTCCTAGTTTGTTAACAACTTAAAATTAACAGAAAAAAAAATGAATCTTGATAATATTTTCATCTTTATATACTGGTCTAGAAAAACTGAACTTTGAAAAGTATCACAAAAGAAAGGCTATGGTAGCAGAAGTTTTAATGACAAAAGTCTAACAGAGATTAATCTGGTCAGTGAATCAACTTTTTTTTTAAAGATTTTATTTATTTATTTGACAGAGAGAGAGATAGCTAGAGCAGGAACACAAGCAGGGGGAGTGGGAGAGGGAGAAGCAGGCTTCCCACTGAGCAGCGAGCCCAACGTGGGGCTCAATCCTAGGACCCTGGGATCATGACCTGAGCTGAAGGCTGACGCTTAACAACTGAGCCACCCAGGCGCTCCGAATCAACTCTTTATATTAAAAACTTCACATGCATGAATAACCCTGAAAATAATTTCAGGAACATAAAAATACAAACTCCTTAAAACCACCATATGTAAAAACTTGAGTTGCCTACAAAACAGAAATTCTCTTGGAAAAGCATTTTCTCAAAGAAAATCTATCTATATTGGTATAAAGCTGATTTATTTTTAAAAAATTTTTTAGGTATAAATCTGATTTAAATATTTCTCAAACATGGGGGGGGAACCGTTATTGTCAAAACTCAAAACTTAAAATAACAACAGGATCAAAATATCAGTGCCAAAATATTCTGTAATCAAATGTAACTGGAATTGACTAAAGTATCTTTTAAATATTTACTTTTGAAAGAATGCCTAACAGCAATCCCAATACAATGGCAGAATAAAAGTAATATTCTTCCAGTTCTCTGAGAATGGTACTAATTCTTATTTTCTCTTTTGTTCAACTTATTAACTGTTCAAATAGGGGTTCTTAAACTATAAGAATCTCCTGAGGGACTTGTTAAAAACTCCAATTCTGGACTCTATACCCAGAAAATCTGATTTAGGTCCAGTGTAGCATCCAAGAATCTGCGTTTTTAACCTGTACCTTGAATTAATTTCTTAAGCATTTGATTTGAGAATCACACCCTGTTCTAAAGATAATCCTCTCTACTCAAATACATCCTAGGGAGAAAGGGGGACAAGAAGGCAGGGAGACAGAAAGACACAAAGACTGATTACAAACCTTTATATGTTGGAGCAGGTGGTGCTGTTGCCACTTTCCTGACCTTTGCTGTCACTGAGTTATCAACATTAACAACCATTACTGGATGGTCAATATGACCCAGATTCTGACCCCGGCCATTTGTTTCTTCTGAGTGTTCCCACTGTTTTCTAATTCGCTCCTTGAGTTTTTCCAGTTTGACATCATGTTGTCGCTGCTTTAAGATATCTAACCTTTGGGAATTAGAAGTACTAGTAGAGGACGGAGAAGAGTCAGTTATCCGTAACACTTTTGGATCAACATCATGGCCCATGTTACTTACAGAAGCCTTCTCATTTCCTTTTGCTCTATTAGGATTTTCTTCCTCAGTTCTCACAGGAGCTGCCATCTTAATCAAACATTCAGAATTTTGCAATGCATCAATTGCTGGTCGATCATTTAAAAACCTAACCACTGTACCATTGATGACAGATGACTGGGAGCTCTCAAAATCACAGCAATGTATATTCTGTTCTTCTCGATTGCATATCATCCGGTTCCTGTTCTCAGGCTTTTCTTCATTAACATCCACACAATATACATGCTTTGACTCTAGATGGCTAGGACTTATATTGGAAGTTGTACCATGGATTTCCCTATTATTAAAAAATAATAAGTTTTGAATAAAGATTTCAAAAACCAAATTGAAACCAGTCGTACAAACTGAAGGGAGAACTCTAAGCTAACATTAGAGACCCCAAAAAAGTTTTGGAATTCCAGTAGGTTAAATAACAAAATAACCATTACTAATATTAAGATTCAATGCTCAATGCACCCTCTATCAAGTTAGATGGCAAATAACCTAAATCATTAATCTGCGTATTATAAAATAAGAAATATGCAAAAGATATATGGAGAGATATAGGATGAGAGAAAATAGGATGACAATCTGACTTTAGATATTCACTTGACATCTATTACCAAAATGTGTATTTTACTTCTCTATGAAATCTTTTTTCCCCCCTATGAAATCTTAAATACAGGAAAAAAAGTTCTCAAATTTTGTATTTGTAACTTCTAAATAATGTACCAAGTGAACAAACAGATTGGCAGTAGAAGTAAAGTGGGGGTATAATAAATATTTTCCTCCAAATAAATGTAGTTAGTAAAGTTAAGTGTCTCTGAACCACAGACCACTTTTTTTGGTATCTTCAAACTATGTAAAGCACATCTAGAAATTGTGGAGTAAGCAGACTAGGCATTGCCAAAGTACATATCACAAAGTCCATATTCTCTACTCATAAAAACATTAGCAAAAGTCTTCCTCCAGAGGCTATTTTTATTTTATTCTATTTATTTATTTATTTATTTTATTTATATGATCATTCTAGTAAGTTATATTTTAGGAACAGAACAGTTTATTAAAAGGGAGGTTAATGAAGACAAGCCTCAGCAGTAAGAAGAGCACATAACTGATGAAAAAATACCCAACAAAATTATAAAAGTGAACATAACAATCTGGATCTGCAATGTCTGAAAGTGTAGACTTTAGCCATATGTGGCTACTGAGCACTTGAAATGTGGTTAGCCCAAATGGGAGATATGCTACAATGTAAATTACATACCAGATTCTAAAGACTTAGAATGACAACAAAAAAAAGAATGTAAAACATCTTCATGTGTCTAGGTATGGCACTACTAAAAAAGTTAAATTATGTGTGGCTCACGTTAACAATTCTATTACATACCACTGATCTAGATGTTTTTTGTAAAGGCATAAAACTCTAAATACCACAAAAATTCTTAAAGCCATAATTCTGTTACAGCGTAATATAGTAATTATATCTACTGTGAGTCTATGGGTATGTACATTTTTCTAAGGAGATAGTCTACAGTTTTCATCAAATTCTCTTCGGAATCCATGACCCAAAAAACATTAGACCCTGTTCTGAATGGTCGATTATTAAACAAGATGGGGGCTGAGAACTGACTCCTGTAGCTTCCACCAGAGATCAAGACTAAATTCAGTTATTTGCACTACCTTTACCAGACCACAATAATTCATAGTTAAAATAATTTAGGTATAAAATTAGCACATATAAAGAATAAAATAAAGCATAAAAAGGTAGTTTACGTAACATGTCACAATCTTAAGGGAAGGAGAGTCGAGCCCACGCCACCAAAAAAAAAAGTAGTTTCACAGTCTTTCATTAACTCATTCATTAAATATTTACTAAATACATATAAGGGTGTTTATTACACAATTCTTTCAACTTTTCTGTAAATATGAAAATTTTCATAATAAATGCTAGGAAAAAATATTTATGAAATACTTAGTAAATGACAGGCATTAAGCTAATGTTTTGAGAGTAAGATAGATTTACAGCCTTACATAAGCTATGTAATGGGTAGATATGGAATCAAAATATAATGCAACATGAAAATGCTTTAACAGAGGAAGTTATAGAGTATTATAAGAGCACACAACAAGGATTAAATAGGCTGCGGGAATGGAGTGGAATAGAAACAGATCTGGCAATGTTTCATACAAAAGGAGCTAACAGTGAGTCTTAAGTGATGGAGTCAGCCAGGTGAAGGACGTTCTATTCACAGCTATCCTATGGGTATTTCTTTTAATCCTAAAAGATATATAATTTACAAAATTTTAAATATCAAGTAGTATTCTTTGCAGGAAGAATACCAGAATATGGATAAAGAGTAATTTATAGTTTCAATTCCGATGATGATTATGTTTCTAGGCAAGTTGCTTAATATTTGTGTGGTTAAAGACTTCTGAACTCTGATTATTTTTCACATTTTTTCTTTCTCCTTTTACTAAACTATGACCTTTTACCCAGATTAATTCCCTGGCCTTCTCTCTGTATCTTCTTCACCATTTTTATCGCTTCAACACTAGTAAAAACTCCCAAATTTTTATTCCCAGCCCTGACCTTTTCACACATATTCCTGCTCAAATTTTCAAATGCCTACTGAATATTTTCACCTAGATATTTCAAAACTGTATCAAATCAAATACTGGTATTATGAACTGATATGAACCCATGATCTACCTCCATCTCCCAAATTCTTTCTCTCAAACTTAAGAGTACAAACATATACCGGTAATATCTGGCACCATCATGAAACTCCTTGACTTACTGATTGACATTTTATAACACTACAAATGTTAATAAGTGAAACAAAGAAATAAAAGGTCCAGTGTTTATTACTTATGACTATTTGCTATACTGAAAGCATTAACACATATTTTATAACATTAGTAAAATGTTCCTCAAATATAAATTCTATCATTTTATCTACTGAATATCCTAAATTACCAGCTAACAAAAATACATATCATTTGATATTATCCATACTATCAAAATTCATACATCATTCCTGAACATCTGATAATAAGTTGCTGAAAGGAGACACTAACAACAAAGTGAAACAATAAACCAACTCATATTCTCAATAGAAAGAAATTTTAGGTAACTGATTACTGCTATAAAAAAAAAAGAAGAAGAAACTAAGCTATAAAAAGTTCATTATGCACAACACCTAATCCGAGATATTAAGGAAAAAAATATCCATACTTCCAGAGACTGAATAATCTGTCTGCAGGAAACATATATATTACAACGGTTATTATTCACATTTTTTCTTTCTCCTTTTACTAAACTATGAACTTTTACCCAGATTAATTCCCTGGCCTTCTCTCTCTATCTTCTTCACCATTTTTATCGCTTCAACGCTAAATACATATAAGGGTGTTTATTTAGCCTGGGCTATTACTTCTTCCCCCCAAATACTTAATCTGTAAAAGAGTGGAAAGTCAGTATCTCATAATAAAAAAAGATTTTTGCTTTATATTTTTGGAAAATGAAAAAGGTAATAATACTAGAGTCAGAGCGCTATGAAAAACTCAGAAAATAAACCGTAATCTTATTGTAAATATTACAGGCAAAACCTACTTGATAATTTGTTTTTGAACACTAACCTGTAAGAAACCAAAGGTTCACGAAACTCCACACGGTTATTTTTTTTTACGTTGCTCTCCAGGGTGGTAACTCTGAGAGGGCTCCGGGATTTCTCTTTCCGTGATGTGCAAGATTTGGCGGTTGGAGCATCAGCCCAAGAATCATCCCGGTATCTACCATCTGAAGAAAAAGGACATCTGTAAGAACATATGACTGCCTCTGAATTTGACTAGTATTTGTGACAATAACAGGTATCTATTATTTCTGGCCTCTCTAGTTGGATGTTATATGATAAGTAGATGGGAAACATTCAGGTTAAATTATTATAGTAACTCAATCTATAGAGAAAAAACTATTCCAAATAATGAAAAACTCTACATATAAAATTATTTTTTGTCAAAGGCTGTCACTTACTTAAAAAAAGAATTATCAAGTAAAACCCACCAGACTCACAGGTTAAAAAAAAAATTAGTTTTAATGGAAAGTACTAACCTCTAGGTTTTAGCCCACTAATTAAGAAACCACAGAATTACATATATGAAAGATAATCAAAGAAAGTATTTGCATTTTGTCAATTTATGGCAGTATCTGTTAGATATTCCAATTATGATTTAAAATCCCCTAAAAATATGTAAAACTCATTAAGTCAACTAAATCTCAAAGTTGATAGATCTATGAATTTAAAAGAAGACATAGATAATTCCAAACACTTAAAATCAAATTCTCATCACTAAAAACCAATGAAAACTCACTGTCAAAGGTGAGGTAGTGATGTTAAAGTCCCTGATCAAAAGATGGTGAAAACATGGGGCACCTGGGTGGCTCAGTCGGTTAAGCATCCGACTCTTGATTGCTGCTCAGGTCATGATCTCAGGGTTCTGAGATCAAGCCCCACAACGGGTTCCGTGGTTGAGATTTTCTCCCTCTCCCTTTGCCCCTCCCCCTGCTCGCTCTTGCTCTCTAAAATAAATAAATTTAAAAATCTTAAAAAAAAAAAAAGATGGTGAAAACATCATCTACAGTCACTGAACATGAGGCAGCTTCATAACTACTCAGTACCAAAGACAAGAAAATTAAATGTTGATGAGGTTATCATCTCTGACAAAAGAGCTAGCAAATATAAGGGACTATAAAGAGAAATTAAACTGAAACAAAACTAATATCAAATTTATATTTAATATATTTGTATCTTTGAAAGTAACTTTATACATACCTTTTCTACTTATTTTTCGGGTAGCACTTGCAGAAGATTTCTTGGTATCCATGACAGAATCAAACACAGCTGTACTTGTAGGGGCTACTTCTAATTTGTTTTCAATGTGTCTCAGCTAAAGTTTAAACACCATCACAACAAATAGGTTAATTCTGTAAATAAACCAGCTACCATTGATTTACATAGTTAATTTTTTATTTTTTACCTTTTTTTTTTTTTAACGTAAGCTCTATAGGCCCAACGTGGGGCTTGAACTCATGAGCCTGAGATCAAGAATTACATGCTCTACTGACTGGGCCAGCCAGGCGCCCCAATTTACAAAGTTATTTAAATTATATTGTCCAATACCTTTCTCCAAAGTCAAAACAACTCAGGAATTTTTTCAATTTTTTTTTCAATATTCATTTTTTCATTACTTATTACTTCACCTATAGTAAGAAGTGGTACAATGCTGCCCAAATTTGGACAAGAAAATCAAAAAGATTCTGAAGAATATCAAAAAGTTTCTATTTGTCTTGTTGACCTACTTTTTTTATTGTTGAGTTTTTTTTAAGCAAGCAGTACATTTTCTGACATTATACGTCACATATCATTATGCTATATATCCTATGCATTTTACATGCAAAAATTAGGAAAGAACAATTCAGATGGACTAAAACTTAGAACTGTTCAAACAACTACAACTTAATAGTCTTATGTCTATAAAATAAGTTTCACAATAAAGATAAAATTCACAAGATAGAAAACTCAGGTTTTGTGGTACAATGTACTCACAAAATTGAGTTAAATCTTCATAATCTGTACCAGGCTTTTTCTCCCATTTATATTATAAGCTCCTTATCATCCTTAAAAATAATTTCTAAAAACGCAATAGTTTTGAAAAACGACTATTAACAGTTCAGCTCTAAATTAGGTTAACTCTAAATTAAACTGGGGATAAAAATGATTCCTACATTGTAGATATATAATGCTCATGTATAATGTTGTATTTGATCCTACATTATGACCAAATCTAGGTTATAGTACCTTTTCCAGATGCATTTTCATACCAGTTCAAAAGATTAGGGGACAGAAAATACCATATTCACACAGTAAAGAAACAGGTGACTCAAATTTAGGTAGGATACAAAAGAAAACAAGAAAGGACATATTAGGAGAGTAATTTTCCTGGAGAGCAAATGAAAAAGAAAAGAAAAAGGAAAGAATCTCCCTTCAAAGGGACTATGTATCACTTGGCAAATTTGGATTCCTAAACTCCAGACAAGACTGGACAGAACACAAATGAAAACAGGTTGCCCATAGTTATTCTTCAGCAGGACTGAGAGAAAGCAGTCTGTCATTGCCACAAAAGAGGTAATACCTAGTCCATTAAAGAAACTGTTCCTTTCTTTTCCTCTCTGACTCTGGGCCTTCTACATAGACAAAGCCCCAGATTCCCAAATCATTTTGTTTTAAATCTTCATTTCAATATACCAAATGAACAAATTTATTGAGAGAATAAATAGCACAAATTACTTTAGTATTTTATATGCCATAGTGTTAATGTTCCTGATACCTAAAGTAGTGTCTTGATTATCCTTTTACTATTTAATAGTCATTATTAATGTTCATTTTGTAATATATGGTACTTAACTTCTTACCAAAATCCTTATTTTCCTATGAAAAAAGTACTATAGAAAAAAATTTAATCTATTCAATCATAACAGGAAACCAATTTTAAACCAGAAAGAAAGAAATGGAAGCTCTAACTACTTACAGCAGCCTTAGTCTGAGAAAGTGCATCCCACGATGTGGTTATATCTGCTGGGGAACATGGATATTTACTGAATCAGAATCTCTAAAGTAGTCCTCAAAATCTGCATTTTAATAAGCTCCTAAATGCACTCAAAAGTGTGAGAACCATTTTATTAGGCAGAACTGTTTCTCAGCAAATGCTTTATCATATTGAACCAAAACATGGTTCTTTTCCCATTCTATAAAGCCAAGCTTCCTAGTACACGGTTTAGAATTGTATTAGACACTGATCCTACTAGTTCTTAGGACAATATCCCCACTCATAGCCCCATCAGACATCAACAATAAGCAATATCCTCAATTTATCTCAGTGACCTAAACACAAAATTTTGTAGTGTATTTCACAATTATGATGTTAAAAAGATTAGAAAATTACTCCACACCTCAATCTACCAGTAGAAACAAAGGTAGAATCTAGTCTTTCAGATAACAGCCCTTCAAATGGTACAAGGCCACCTAGTTACCTTAAATCATCCTTCCCTCCAAACGTTCCTCATGTGACATGATTTCCAGATCCCTCATAAACCCGATAATCTTCCTCCAGATATACTCTAGTTTGTCAGTGCACCTCAAAATGTATCATGTCCTAATTAAAGTAACCCCCAATGCATCATTTAAAAAAAAATAGTTCAATGAGACTTTGCCTTTTCTTATCTGTGCACGATAGGTCTAAAACTATATTAGGAGCTATATTATATCATTTATTGACATTAATCAGAATTTCCAAGAAACTCTGTAAAACCAATTTTACATATACTGATTCTTTTTTATATTTTCCTTTATAAAACTGCTTGCCATAGGACACCTTTGAAGGTGAGGTACCTTGCATACTTAAAACAAATTGAACTTAAAAAATTATCCACTTTTTATAAAGCAAAGTATATGTATAATTTTCATTTATTGATTAGTCCAGAATTTTATACACATGACCTAAACAAAGCAGGCACTAAGTTCTAAAGTTTAAAAAAAAAACAAATCATACCTTGAACAGTATCCTTGCTTTGAGAGTTCCTTGGATTTGGTAAAGGCACCTCTTTTGATTTGCTGCTCCTCATCCTGCCAATTTACCTACAATCACATCATCACCATTCATTAAACATCAATATTATAATATTAGTAAAGAAAATACTCTTTTAACTTTCATGAAAGTCAGAAAAGGATTTTGTCAACTCTAAAAGTTATCTTTATGCCCTCTTTAGAGTCCCTTATAATCCAGTAACTTTATTTTTCCTTGGAAAACTAAACCATTAAAAAGTCTACCATGACTACCTCACACCAACTAGGATGCCTATTATTAAAAACAAAGAAACAAAACAACAACAGAAAATAACAAGTGTTGATGTGGCAAAACTGGAACTCTTGTGCAATGTTGGTGGGAATGTAAAATGATACAGCCTCTATGGAAAACAGTATGGCAGTTCCTCAAAAAATTAAAAATAGAATTAACCATATGATCCAGCACAAAAGAACTGAAAACAGAGTCTCAAAGAGACATTTGTACACGCATGGTCATAGCAGCATTGTTCACAATAGTCAAAAAGTGAAAGCAACAAAAATGTCCATCAACATATGTAAAACGTGGTATATACATACAATGGAATATTATTCAGCATTAAAAGGGAAATTTTGCCATTTTCTATAATACAGATGAACTTTGAGGACATCAACTAAGAGAAATAAGTCAGTTATGAAGATGAATACTCTATGATTCCACTTATGTAAAGTACCTAGAGTAGTCAAAATTATAGGGGCAGAAAAGTAAATAGTGGTTGCCAAGAGCAAGGGGGGACTGGGGAGCTGTTGTTTAATGGGTACAGAATTTCAGTTTTACAAGATGGAAAGTGATGCAAGATGGATAGTGATGAGGGCGCCTGGGTGGCTCAGTCATTAAGCGTCTGCCTTCGGCTCAGGTCATGATCCCAGGGTCCTGGGATCAAGTCCCAGATCGGGCTCCCTGCTCCGCAGGAAGCCTGCTTCTCCCTCTCCCACTCCCCCTGCTTGTGTTCCTGCTCTCGCTGTCTCTTTCTCTGTCAAATAAATAAATAAAATCTTTAAAAAAAAAAAAAAGATGGATAGTGATGATGGTTGCACAATGCTATAAATGTATTTAATACCACTAAATTATACACTGAAAATGATTAAGGTGTTACATTTTATATTGCATATTTTATCATAACAAAAAATGAAAGAAAAAAAGAAAAAATTATATCATGACTCAAAGAGAAAGATCATGATCTGCTTATGCTGACTAGACAGCTTGATAATAGTCATATTTTCCTATGAATATAGAATTATTCTGTTATAAAACTCACAAAACACTGAAAGTTTGGAAAATACAGGAGGGGAAAACTCATTCCTATTCCCCAAATCTTAATATGATCATTAAGCTATTTTGCATAGTTCCTTCTATTCTAATTTTCATTTTTACTCTAAGTTGTGTAAAAAGTAAAAAATTTTTATTTTTGTGTCCCACTTAACTGCTGGATGTTTGTGGTAGTTTTTAAATATATTCACAAATCCTCTGATACTCCTTTCTTCAAGAAGTAGAGGTTAATTTTCTTCCATTAAATGTAGCCTGGAATTAGGGATATACTTTTAACAAATGTGGTGGAAGTGACAATATGTGACTTTTAAGTCTAGGTGACAAAAGGCATTGCTTGTTCTCTGGAGTTACATAGCAATAGATTATCAGTACAATATTATGTCTCATTTTCTCTATTACAAGTAACACTGAAATGAACATATTTGTGTATCTGTGAATTTTTGCTTATTTGGATTTATCTAGAACAGGATCTACAAAGTGTAATATTAAAACTGAACTAAAGAATGTGAAGAACATGCTGCTCTTGAGATCCAATGTTAAACTGTTTTCCAATTTATACTTTACCACTGTTTTTATTTATAATGAGCCTACTAGTTTCATTAACATCTTTTAATATTCAGCATTATATCTATTCTATTTACTTGCTGATTTAATAGGAAGAAAATGGTTGTTTTAATTTGAATTCAATAGATTGCTAGCAGGACTAAACATTCTACCATAGATCTTAATCTTAGTTCTTCATGTGTGAATTATCTCTTCATGTCCTCTGCTCATCTACCTACCAGGATCATCATGTTTTTCTTATCAATTTGATGAGTTCTTTACATTATGAATATATGACCTCTGTCATGTGTGATAAAAATAATTTTCTTCAACCACTGTTTGCAAAGGCAGTTCAGTATGTTGTATATTAAAGAACCCAATTTGAATCTAAGGAAAAGAGGGGGCATCTGGGTGGCTCAGTCAGTTAAGCCACTGACTCTTGCTTTCGGCTGGGGTCATGATCTCAGGGTCATGGGATCAAGCCCCATGTCAGGCTACGCGCTCAGCACGGAGTCTGCTTGAGATTCTCTCTCTCCCTCTCCCTCTGCTCCCCCTCGTGCTTGTGCTTTCTCTCTTTCTCGCTCTAAAATAAAATCTTAAAAAATATATAAATTTAAAGAAAAACCTACCTACTAAAATACAAACACATAAAACTGAAGGCATAATTAATTTTTAGGAGAGTTAATTTCACCCACAGTAAATAATCCTCGTTTTAAAATTTCTTTTAAAAAACTTCAAAAATGTTCTAAAAATAAAATTTGTTATAAATTATATAACACCTCTCTAAGAAATGTCAATGTTTTTAGAAAGTCAGATAGGAATGATAGAAAAACTAAAACTAAAAATTTTCCAACCATAAAAGCTTCCATCAGTGATGCCAACATAGCTCAAAAAATCAACTCATTTTACTTTCCTTCTCATAAAAATACTTTTGGCCTGGCCAACTATCAAAATGATAACAAACATGAGTTATTCTGTATTACTAAATAATTTATCAACAATTTGACAAAAGTTTTCTTTGAGCAGACCTATCTTTGCTTTAAAACTAAACTAAATGCTAAAATATATATTAATTCTCAATTTTCCAATGAGAAGGAGAAATAGACTAAATAATAAAAACTGCATATATCTCCATAATCTCTATGTTCAGGGGCCAGCACTGATAAGGCTGAGACAAAGTACATGAGTAAAAAGAAACGCATTTATATCTACTTCAAAATAAAAACTTTCTTAATGGTTAATCATCAAATGCAAGTGACTCAATATCAGGAGGATGACATTTATGTAAAATTTCATCTTATAAATTATAGTATATTCACCATTTAACAATGAGAATGAACTAATTACAACTACATGCTACAAACATGTTAAGTGAAGAATGCCAGAAACAAGTGTACATGCTATATAATTCCATTTTATAAAGTATCAAACAGGCAAAAGTATCTATGGTGTTAGAAGTGAGAATAGTGGTTACATACAGTTTGGGCAGAAGGGTGGTGACTGGAATTGGAGCAAGGAAGGGTTTTTGAGGTACTGATAATATTGTTTATTGATATGGGTGCTGATTACATGAGTGTGTTCAGTGTATGAGACTTCCATCAAGCTGTACACTTACATGCTGTTTCAATGTACATTATACATCAATTAAAAGTATTTTCTGATAACATGCCTGGTTTAGGTTTATAATTACAGTTTTAATTCAGTTCTATAGTATGTCTAGTCTCATGAATGTCAGTTTTTCAATATTTTACTTTTCAAAATCCCAGGTTATCCCATACCGAATAAGTATTATTAATAGAATCTATTAATCTAGGGTTCTTTAATATACAACATACTGAACTGCCTTTGCAAACAGTGGTTGAAGAAAATTATTTTTATCACACGTGACAAAGGTCATATATTCATAATGTAAAGAACTCATCAAATTGATAAGAAAAACATGATGATCCTGGTAGGTAGATGAGCAAAGGACATGAAAAGATAATTCACACATGTAGAATAGAATCTAATTCTATTATAAATAGAATCTATTTAAGTAGAATAGTTCTTTATGTAAGAATATATATGTAAGTATCACCATTTTCTATAAAAATAGAAAAACTGAGGAAAAAGTATACTGAAAAAAATCTCCTCATAGAAAGAAGACAATCTAATCTGTCAAAACTTACTATCTTTAAAGTATAAATCTCAATCTGTAAAATGCCTTTTCTAACCACTTTAAGATGACTAAGTCAAATAGATTAAACTTATTCAAGATCATTTATTAGGAAATAATGAAACTACCTTCCCAGTTAAATGTTTTATAGGCAACATGACAACTTTATTCTATAGCCATACGGGAATTTTGGAATTATTTATTGAACATTTGTGCATTCTCTTTTGCCTACTTAATCTGTCAAAAATTAAGAAAGGCAGACAAAAAACTACCATAACTACTTTTTGTCTCCTTCTCTTATTTCTATAAACTAATGTTTATATAGCTTAATAGGATTATTTAGTACATAAAGGTTCATGGTTGTTATATTGTCATGTGGGTTTTATATTTCTTCAATAAAAAATGACCATCATTGTCCGTAGAGAACTATGTTTTACTATTCAGTTCTATTTTGTATGCTATTAATAAAAGGTAAGTATTGCTTTATTCTATTATACCTGCCCTAACCTTTCAATTCTAAGCTTTCTGGGACACTATTTGAGATGCATCCTGTACACAGAAAATAGAACTTTTTTTTTAAGATTTTATTTATTTGACAGAGAGACACACAGAGAGGGAACACAAGCAGGGGCAGAGGGAGAGGGCGAAGCAGGCTTCCCGCTGAGCAGGGAGCCCGATAAGGGGCTCAATCCCAGGACCCTGGGATCATGACCTGAGCCGAAGGCAGAGGCTTAATGGCTGAGCCACCCAGGCGCCCCATAGTTAGAACTTTTTAATCCAATGTAATAATCTTTGTTAAGACTAAGAATAGGGAGGGGAGCCTAATTCTACTGGTGGAGACCTGTTAAAGCTTTTTGGGAGTATATCCTTAAAGACACCATATTAATTAGGTCATGCCTACTATATGTTTGGTATGAAGGAGAAAGAAGGGACAGAGACTATTATGCATCAGAAGCCCTAATGGCATCAGCATACCATGTTCATAAAAGTTAAGTATTCTGTTATCTAGTAATAGATTTGTCACAACCCTCCAC